AATCACCCTTTGCAATCACTGGGGACTGTAGGCAGAGAAAGGCATTTAAAAGTCTTACATTTACTCTTAGCTATATGACAATCACTTACCGAGTACATTGATCATGAAGCACTTGCTAAGTATCTGGCCGTGCTGATTGTGCTGGCATCGCAGCAGTATCTGCGAGAGGAGTCTGAGTGAGTAACTCGTAGTGATAGCCCTCCGTTGCCATCAATCTCTGGCAGTAGGAGGAAGGGGAGACTGTGCTTGACGATCAGCTGTCACTGGTCCCATACAGAACGTAAAATCTACTTCACAGATAACAAGCTAGTAGCTATCTTACATTGGTTGGTTCAGGGTAACCATCTGCAATACACTGGTAGGTTGCGTGTGTGTTTTTCCAAGACTGTATACTCCAGTGATATTCCGATGTTGGAGGTGTAATATCTGAAACGCAATGTTGGTAGTATAAGCAAACATCTATGTAGTGTGCCGAACCCATACTCCAACACAAATTTCAGTAGTTTCGTTACTCCTGACATTGTGAGTAGTAAAGTCAACCTGACAGGTGTTACTGGGCACAGCCATTGGCGAGGGCGCCTGAAATCTGAGGTAGCCTTCTCCAAACTCGATCCTTGTTGTTGCTGAGAGAGGGTGTGGAGTCACGTAGCCAGGTGACTCTGTAGCCTGGTGGACCCTGGACTCCTGCAGCAGATCCCAAAGGATCGCGTGCTACTGTCCAGGTAGACAGTCTCCTGTCCTATACCAATTTCTTGCCCATCAAAACCCACTATGTCACAGATTGCTCCACAATGATCGCTCCTGTTGACGAGACCATTCAATTCAACATTCAGTGTGGGCATTGATGTACGCCTTACCTGCCACTTCAAGTGTGGTGGAGTAAACTAATTCCCTGGGTTGGTACGTGGCAGATGTAGCTCCCAGCATCACTGTACTGGACATCCTCGATACAGAGAGAGCCACTGGAGCTAAGTGATATTCTCCCAGATGGTTGGATATCCACAGTCTGTCCGTCTTTACTCCACCTGGATGTAGTGGTAGACCCAGGCTCTTGGTCTCCATAACACTGGAGACACAAAATGTCTCCGGTGATGGCAAAGTGTGATCTGGGCGGTATAACTTCTCCTTCGCCTGTGAAATTTCAAATTGGTAAAGTGTTATGCATGTAGGAACATTGTTACCTGAAGTAAGCTTTCAAACCGCCAACATAGGCATAGCTTTCGAGATACGAGAATCCGTACACAGTCACACCAACTGGCCACCGTTGCCGTTCCAAAACCGAGTGAACACCATCACTGATGAAAACTGTTGTGGTGTGACCGCATGTTTCGGGAGTGGTTGGGCAGGGAATATCTACCCACGGTTGACTGTCTCTGTCCCTGGGTAAACTGTCAATCATAACACCTGATGGATCAAACCCGGCAGGGACGTAGAGATTGGCGTAGTTTTGATAGTCGTGACCACTAATGGTAGAGAAGGTTGTGATGTCTAAGTACTGTTTCACTGCTGGAACGATCACCATGAATGGATCGGCATTGCTAGCACCATCTGCACCCCCTCCAGCAGTAAACTGGACCACTAGCACTGGCTTGTCGGTCTGTATGAAGTAGTACTTGTTAGCAGAAAGGTTGAACTCCATGAAGTTCCCGGCCCGGGCCAACGACACGGTAAAGATATCTGTATCACCACCTGATCCTTGGTTAATGCATGCTGCATTCCCTGAAGTGCCGTCTTGTGCAGCAATGACTCTGACCAGGTCTGGAGATCTCCTTGTGGCGGTGGGGGCCACGATGAACTGGTTACCCCAGGTGACGGTGGGGGGAATCTGCTCCACCAGATGGTCGCACTCTGGGGTACCTGCCGGGACATTCCCACACTCATGTCCAGTGAAGAAGGAGATTGGAGACGAGGACACAACTCTAGATCCAGTCAGGTCTTGCCTGTCCTGTACATAGAGAGTCTGTCTCTCTTGGAGAAGGACAGAGAATGAGGTTCCAGCTCTGATTGTGAGGATGGGTATGTAGGGATGGGAGATGGTCTGAGTCGGAGTGATGGTGACTGTGGTGTTGTCAGAGCAGGCCACTATCAGGAAAGCACTGTCAGCAGCGGTATCGACGACAGGTGTGGGAGGGACCGATACTGCGTAGTATTCGTAAGATGTGACAGACGCAAGATGTGAACATGGAAGAGCAGTGAAGGCATCGGTCGAATGAAGCTCCTCGTTTAGTGCAAATACGGTAATCTGCTTGAGCTGCTCGGCCTTTATCTTCAAGCCCTTACTTCGATCCCTCCCTGACTGAACCTTCAGCTGTTGCAGTCTCCTAGTCACGACCTCTCCAGGTCTAACGCTGACCATGGTAGTTCCCTCTTCACTCTCTATCATTGTGACTACCTCTGAGCTCTCAGCTGTGGTGATGAAAATTTCGCTACGGTTGAGAATTAGCCGCTCGTTGGATGAAAATGCTGGCTTGATGTAGTTGTCCATGAATCCAATATAGAACTCATTTCTAGTGTTAGCTGCAGAAAAATAGCCAGGCTAATAGGTAGGACCTTTCCAACAAACACACGTGTGGTCTGTCTCCAAGCAGGCACACCAACCTGAAAAAACTTCCGTGGTTGCATAACAATTTGTCGAGTATTGTGTTACAATACTTTTCAGTTAGCTATAGTATATAGCTATGTAGGACCAGTAAACTTACTTTGCAGTTGGTTAGATGTAGCTGACTGCTGGCTGATGGCGAGAATCTCACTGGGTGTAGGAGCATCAGTATCTTCCTGAATTGGAGACAGTCATACAGTGGCTTATGGTGTTGTTGTAGATGGTGACTTACCCTGATATTTCTGCTGTGATGATTCCAACACTTGGGACAGTATCTGAACGAAAAAGTGAAAATCGCGTTTAGCACGGTGCTTGTGCTCGTGTAACGCTGCCGATCCCTGTCGTACTTGTGCGCTAACGCTCTCGCGCGATTTTACGTAGCTCCCGCTTATACTCACCTGTATCCCTACCAGAAGTAGAACGAGGCGTAGCCGCATCTTGCACTGACACGACAAGGCAACAAAATGAGCACCCGTCCAGCAGCATCTCCGCTTATTACCGACGTTCCTTTATCCGCGATGACGGTCAACATCCCGTCTTGTTGGGACATGCCAGCTGACGGGTATAAAACTCACCGGGGGTTGCTCAGCGGCATGCCACCGAGCAGCAAGATGCAACTCATCTTCGTCTTCGCAGCAATTGCGCTCTGCGCACTCCGACCAGCGACGGCCGCCGACGCCTCCACCGAGACAATAGCCGCAGCTCGGAACTCCAGACCACTCTCGCCAACCTGTACACGGTGCTCAGGGACGCGGCTCTCCCGCCGCCCAGCGCTGATGCCACCGGCGAGGAACCGACCGAGCAGCGACTGGTGATGCTTATCCCCGGAAAAGTGCCCAGTTACTACGACTACTTCCCAGGTGATGCGTACGAGGCCTACCTAGAGAACCCGGACTACGGGTACACCGATCAGCAGGTATCCATCCCACCGCGGGTCATGGAGAACATGTTCGCACTCGCTGACGTCGTCCCGGGACGCTATCCGCTGCGAGGAGCCGAGTCAGGGGAGAGTATGGCCATCATCTACGAAGACATCCTCAACAAGATGGAGGTGAAGGTGTTTCAATCAAAAGACCGCAAGAGGAGAAAGAGCGCTACGTTACGGCCATCAACTATCTCGCCGAGGAGATCCCAGACCCACTGAACGTTACCCAGAACGTGACTCGGTTCCAGATGTACCGAAGGAGCCAGGAGCTGTACAACGAGCGCCGTCTGGAGATGGAGAACACCATTGAAGAAATGCGCTCAACCCTTCCCGGCATCGATTACGAGCGGTGGTTCCAGCGCAACTTCCCGTCGCTCAAATCCCCAGGTTGAGGGCGCCTACACCGAGTGGCTCATCTTCGGTCAGAAGGAGATCGTGGAGCTGTACAAGAGCTACCTTGACGTGGAGTCGCCCGGTGTAGACCTGGAAAAGGCCAGGATGGCTCTGCGAGCTTCCGGACTTGCCTCACTGGATCGAACCAGGACGGTGTATCCAGTCAGCTTTGTCCCTGGCAACTGGTATCGCTACCTCACCAATGTCACCCGCCTGTAAGTTGATCCACTAGATATGGTGGCTAATAGGTTTATAGATGCAGAATTGAAGGCTCTTCTCAAGTGGTGGTTGGAGCATTTGAGAATATTTCCCTATACCTTTAGCTGTGCACTACACATTTAGAAAACGCTGATAGTGAATAATTATAACCTACTGATACAGGGATGAGGCACAGCTGAAGCGTCAACAGATTGAGATGGAGTCACGGGACGAGATTCTTGTCATGATCGGAGAGATGGAGGCCCAGAAGAGGGTCCTTATTGCCCTGCAGGCCGAAGAACCCTCCACAGAGCTAATCACCGAGTTTGCTGCTCTCCAGGCCTCCCTTGAGTCCTCCAACACAGCGCTCACCACGTTTGCCGACAACACGGAGAAACTGCGGCAGAAGTGTCTTATCAGCCGAATCCGTGCCAAGGCCACCAACAGTAGTCTTGCAACCAACGACTGCGAGATGTACGCGCAGGCCTCTGGTAATGCCGGCGATACCGTAGCTGCCAACACCGAGCTGTACGCCTGCGTCCAGGACCTCGACTACCAGATCAACTCATTTGAGCTGGCCCGGGAAGCTCTCAACGAAACTGCGCTCAAAATCGACGAGCAGATCAACGTCCTCAAGCAGCGACTGGCCACTGCCGACGAAGTTCTCTCACCTCGCTCGTGATGTCAGCACAGCACGACACGCAGACCAGCTCGACTCCAATGGCTCTCCTTTGCATTTGACTCCAGTCGTGAAACCCAGAGTCTTTCTCCTCTTTCTCCGCCAAGACTTCCGAGTTGCTGCCAGTGGTGGGTGCTAGTGGACTATTCTGGAGAGCAAGGCGTCTTCAGTCGCTCAGCTCTCGTACAGAGTCCAGGTTCGAGGCTGCCATGAACAGTGCCAAGACACTAGTTAGTGGAGAGCTCCTGCGAGTGACCGTCCAGAGACCTTGGTTCAGACCCTCTCTCTTCAAGAGCAAGCAATTCCAAATCAGAGTAAGTTTAAAGCATGGCTGTAGCATAGGATATGAATGTGACTTGGCTACAATTTTTCTCGAAAGAGTTTTTACATATTCCAACTATTTCAGCTAGGATGACTCAAGCCCGTGTGTCCCCCGGAACACTGGAAGGCGAAAACCAGTTCATCAGTGACCATAACTCAGCCAGGGGCAATACCTCTCCCACGAGTACGTGACTGGTCTCCTCCTCTCCAGGAACATCAACATTGAATTCAAGAGCATCTCGGCCTCTCAGTCGGCCCATGCCTGTCCACGTGGCCACCAGTACTAGCTCAGTGCCAGCGGAGGATTCGGTTCGGAGCGCCAGTGTGCTGGGAGCTTCAGCAACCGCCAGATCCCAGAGGACTTTCTCAGCCGAGAGCTCCAGCGATGGTCTGAGGATCTCCATCCCTGGTCCCAGATCATGGCTACTACACACAAGTACTGCAGAGTTTCTCCTCAGTCATACGGGTCTTGAGCAGCTACAGCAAAACATCACTGCCGTTTTACAACTGTTAAACTATTGTTTAGAGTCAACAATCATTGTATGATTTCACTATGTACATCGTTAACTAGTAAACCTTTTTTTAGAATACATGACTCATACGAAGTCCGTAACTGCTGCACTTCAAATGCTGGAATGGAATGTCCATATTAGGTATTCGTATATATTCATGTGTTATCACTCCCCTCCACAAATACTACCTATATAGCATGTGACAATGTCGAGCAAAGCTATATATAGATTGCTAGGATATGAGTTCATAGCCGTATGTCAATGGAGAGAGTTTTTATGAGGAAAGGAGCTGCCCTCTGGCGTCGGAATAAGTGGGAGGGCTGGATTGCACACGGATCGGATGTTGTAGAAGTCTCCGAGAGCAACTTGATAAGTCACTGTTGATGAACGTGAGACCTGTAGCTAGCTGCATTCTTTGCAACGATGAGCCCATAAAGACCGTCCGCTGCCGTAAACCTAGGCGGAGTCTAGCACAAGCGAGCTGGAGACGGAGCTGGAGACGTCGGCTGCCGGTGCAGGCGCCTGCAGCCGTGAGTCAGAGATGCGGTCGAGGATTCTAGCCAAACTGGAGGAGAGGTGTCAGGGAATAGTTAAGATGTGAAGGAGACCAGAGAATTGTCTGCGAGGATTTTGGTGGAAGATATCCACGGTAGTGCCCTAAGTGGAGACAGTAGCGACTCTGATGTAAGATTGATATCTAACATGCGCTGAGCCAAATCTAGCTTGAAACTTTGTTATCCAGAGTTCCCTAAGTGGTGTTTCAAGTGCTGATCAATTTACACGTAAGTATAGCTAAATTGACAGCTCGTGGACTTGTTTAGTTCTCTGATCACATGCGACCGCCAGTGGAACAGGAAATCAGACCGCAGTCTCTGCTAGCTGAATTGAGGAGTGCCCAGGTCTATGATGCAAAAAGAAGACTCCAAGTTGCCCAGGAGGAAGTGGTAAAACTACGTATCTATTCTACTCTCCAGTACGAAAGTGGAATCAAGTAGCTATCATAGCAGTCATCTATGATTGTGTTTTACACAGAAAAATCAGTCGCCTCAACTCAAAGCATTGAGGGCTCAGCTGAAAGCAGTTGAGCACCAAAGGCAGGTCGAGTTAGATGAAAAAGAGGTTGAACTGAGAAGGAAAGACATGGTGATTGAAAAGCTAAAAAAAGATGTCAGTAGGCTTCAGGAGGAAAATGAGCAGTTGAAACAAATCCAAAATGGAGAGTAGTGACTGGAAGTGCAATGCTACCAAATAGGCTTTAGGGCCATATTCATAGTAGCTACCAAAGAAGGCAAGGCCAGAGGTGAAAACTATGTTTATGCATTATCATGGACTCATCCTCCACATATATCCACACAGCTACTGCTACTGAAACCAGTTATGAAGACTAAGTGAACACTGAGCCAGTGTTTAGGGAGTAGTAGTGCAGTAATCCCTCACTTTTACTATATATTGTATGACTGTCTGGTCAGATACTGTAGCTAGCTACCTCAAGTTTTTGAACAGCTCTCAGACCTTGTATAAATGTTGGAATTGAGATGCAATTCTTTTATTACATGCTGTGCTCCGACAGTTAGACAACCTGCAGTAAGCTGCTATGTCTGAAGGAAATCTCGTAAGAGAACCTCAAAAATTGTGGCAGAGGGTGTTCACGAGATGAGCGGAGGTGTGCCTGTGCAGAGCAAGTGCCTACACATCCAAAAAAAGAGTATACTTTGAAGTGCTGTATATCTGAACAAAAAGGGTCAAATACACTGTCATAATACACAGCCCTTGTAGTAACGGTCATTTGTAGCTTACCACCCATAATACAACAATTTTAACAGTGCTCAGAGTAATGTTCCTAGAGAAGGACTAGAGCGGGTCGGTCACTGGATGGTGAGAGCTCTGAGAGCAGTGGTAGCTCTTTCCAGGAGAGAGGCCGACTGGCTGCTGACATAGCTGCCTCACACACTAACGTTGGGTACTGCACCACAGCAGATATGAAAGTAGAGGAATCTATGAAGAAGAACATATGAGCCACTGATAGAAGTACCTGATCATCTCCGAAGTCACTCATGGCCTTAGCTTTCTCACTCCATGGATTCCAACCAACTGCATACAGAATGAAAAGCAATAATTGCAAACCCTCCGCCCCTAGAAATGTCAAACTTGTACACACACCCCTAAAAAAAAATAAAAAAAAAAAAAAAAAAAAAAAAAAAAACTAAAAAAAAAAATAAAAAAAAAAAAAAAAAAACAAACAAAACAAAAAAAAACAAAACAGCTAAAAAACCAACAAAAATACAAAAAAAACAAACCCGCCCCCACCCACAAACCAAACAACAAACTCCCCCCCCCCCACCCCCCCACCTGACAACCGCCCCCCAAAAAACCACACCCCACCCACCCCCCCCCCCCCCCACAGCCCCCCACCACCCTCGCCCACACCCATCCCCGTCCCCAACGCGCCGCCACCCCCCCCCCCCCCCGCCCCCCCCCCCCCGTCCCCCCCCCCCCCCACCACCCCCCCCTCCCCCCCCCCCCCGATCCCCCTCCCCCCCCCCCCCCCCCCCCCCGTCCCCCGTCAGCACCCCGCATCCCATCCGCCTCCCCCACCCCCCGCGCCCACCCCCCCCCCACGGCCCGCCCCCCCCCCGCCCACCAGCCCCCACGCCGCCCCCCCCCCCCGCCCATCCCCTCCCCCCACCGGGCATGTCCCCCCCCCCCCCCCCCCCGGCGCCCCCCCCCCTCCCCCCACCCCCCTCCCCCCCCCCCGCCCCCGCCCCCCTGGCCCCCCCCGACCCCCCCCCCCCTGCCCGCCCCGCCCCCCCCCCCCCACCCTGCCTCCCCCCCTCCCCACCCACCCCCCGCCGCCCCCCCCCCCACCCCGCGCCCCGGCACCCCGTCCCCCCCCCCACCCACCCCACGCCGCCCCCCCGCCCCACGCGCCCCCACCCCCGTCCCCCCCCCACCCCCCCTCCCCCCTCCACCCACCCAGCCCCACCCCCCCTACCGCCGCGAGGCCCCCCCGCCCCCCCCCCCCCCCCATCCCCCCCGCCCCCCACCCACCCCCCCCCCCCCCCCACCACCCCGCAACCCCCCCCCCCGCCCCCACCCCCCCCCCCGACCCAACCCCCCCCACCCCCCCCCCCGCCCCTACCCCCCCCCCCCTCCCCGGTCCCACCTACCCCCCCCCCCCGCCCCCCCCTCCCCCCCCACCGCCCCCCCCCCCGAGTTCACCTACCCCCACCCCACCCCCCCGCCCCCCTGCCCCCCCACCCCCCCCCACATCCCCCCCCACACGGCCCCCCCCCCCCAAGCCCCCCCCGCCGCCCCCCGCCCACCCCCACGCCCCTCCCCACCCCCCCCAAGAGACCCCCCTCCCCCTACCCACCCCTCCCCCCCCCCCCACCCGTCCGGCGCCCGACCCCCCCCTACCCCCCAAACGTAAAGACTTGGCTAGGCATTGTAAATTTACTCTCTTGCTAGTCTAGCACATTAACCTTCGCTGCATATATATGTGTGTCGAGAGTTAATGGAAGCACTTGAAAGTGGATTATCTTCACCTCTATAGTCAACATTACGCACAAACTCAACATGAAGAGTGGTAGTTTTGTGGTGCTAGGTTTCTGACATTATTACAAAAGCAGAATAAACACAGGGCAATGTGCGTACCAAAAATCGTAATGGCCAATCTGAAGTAGTTGTTAAGAAGATCCTTACATACGCAAAATATAATACTATATAGCCATGCATTAAAAAAAACTGCATGCTATTCTATTACTTTAGGCAAAAAGATTCTGAGGTTGAAAAAAATGCCACCTACATCTCTCCAGACAGACGTCTATGGACGCAGTGCAATGCCAAACTGTACGCGGTCCTTGAGATGTATGTGGCGGTGGCATGGTCAGTGTATATTCATGGGTAGGGGAGGAACCAGAGCTGTTCCAGCCAATGCTCTGGACCACCTGTCAGTTTCAGTGCGGGTCCCGGATTCGAACCGGGCACCTTATGTGGCAGTCCCCACGTCTGTAACACTGCCACTTGGCTGGCCGACGAGAGCATGATGAAATATATCAACACTCATATTACATAAATATAAAAAAGAGCGCCTGACGGGGATCGAACCACTGACCTGTGGGTCCTTAACCATCAAGCCACACCAAATACTTGGGAGGGGCAGGTACAATATAGCAATTTGTTTATCCCGGAGTCACTAACGTGCAAACCTTCGGCGTATATCTAGCTTGCCCACAATCACAGCAATAGGCTTGCTTATAGTCATGCAGCACTGCAGACCGGTATCAGGCAAGTTGGTTTTCTTGAGGCAAATGGTCTTCCCACCAGCAGCATTGGTTATGACATGATCTTTGACTGCCTCCAGATAAATACTGTGATGACAGAGGAGAAAAGGGACATGATTGTCTATTACAATAAGATCTTACTAGTCCACATATTTTGATACTGTCTTGGGGTCTTCTGTCTCTTGTTTCTTTTCTCCGCCTGCAGTCTGAATGGCGAAATGTCATTAGGAAAGGATTGGACTAACGAAGTAGTGATTATGGGGGTGACCTTGTCAATGTATGTCAGTCCACCTAGACCAGACACGGTTGACTTGGTGACATCAGGGAGACTGAAATACGTGTGGAGGAGGCACGTGAACGAAAAGGACTCCGCATCTGCACCAAAACACGAGGGAAATTTTCAATGCCAAGAAACAGTTTTTGCCATAATTGACTGGCACTAGTGGGAAGTGAATCAATAGGGCTAACACTACAGGCTCTGTAACTATTAACACGTGTAGCTTTGTTTCTCGTATGCAGTTGCAAGCACAGATTCAACAAAGGACACTATTAGCAGAGAATCACTTAAAGTTACATGGCTTAATCTGGATACTTTGTTCTCTCACCATTGTTGTTGGTGGCAGTGAGAGATGTGTCTAGACTGCCCGCCTTTACCACAACTACAAGATCCAACTTAAACCTGGGAGACAGATAAAACCGTGGTGGTAGCTTAGTATACCAGCCACCCCCCCCAAATACTAAAAGGCTCACTTGTGGTTCCAGATGGCTCTGGTGGCATCCGTATCAGTCAGGGTGAACGTTGCACTTACATCACCACCTGAGTTCTAAGGAAACCAGCCATCTCTCTATTACGAAGCTATAGTTAGCAAGCAAGCAGCCCATCTCTCTATTTACTACGAAGCTATGTAGTTAGCAAGCAAGTAGTCTGGCAAATGATGCTAGGTGTGTTAGAGAACGTACAGTGCTGGGAGGAGAGGTGCACTGCCATCTGGAGGTGCGGGCGAACCCGTGCTGAGGTCCTAGCTCCCAGGGACCAAACTGAGCTGGACAACGAGAGAAACTTTAGTTACAACTTCGCGGGAAAAATTGTGGTTTCTTACGAAACACGACTGGAATTCCACCTCTTATCCCTTTCTTGTTGTCAAAGACTGCATTTTTGCTGGAATAGAGAGATCATGAGTATGGCAGGGCCGAGTTACCTTCGCAGGAATGCAGGTTACTAGCTAGCCATAAAGTACATTTATGAGAAATTTTCACTGAATTTGCTAACTGACAAATGTACCCTGCTCATCTCTTGTTAATTAGATGTGTTGCTCAATGCTATAGCAATGTACTGCCCAACCTGACAAAGATCATCTCAGTTCCATTATGAACCCACGACTGCAGAGTTCCTCCTACAGACAAAAAAAGCCAATTTCATCAACCAGTATGCTGCTACAGTATGAAGCCGCAGACCGTGGAGATTTACTGTAGCCTTGTTGTTCTCGTCCCTGGTCAACACAACCACCTCTTGCTCGGCAGCCATCATCCCGGAAGGAAGTAAAGTGCGCCCTACGGCGCGCGCTAGATGGATAATTTTCAGCGTGCGCATGCGCACGCGGAGGAGGGCGCTATAATATCACGGACGAAATAACTTTGTGCACAAACACTTAGTGATTGAAAATGTTCATCATGAGATTCAGATCAGCATTGGTGGCATCCACAGCTCTCAACCACTCCTGGATGATTCCAGAAGTCGGTTTGCCTGTGACAGTGTTCCATTCTGGAGCAGCACTATAGAGACAACAGCAAGTGTCAGCAGATATTGACAATATGAATAATTATTATACACCCTCACATGTGTATAAGAATCAGAATTATAACTTTCCACTCTGCTGGCTTGAACATAACTGTATGCCTTGATAACCTACAGAAAGATCTATATTAATGGCTAATGTCTTCAGTTACGTATAAAACAAAACCTGAACGTCCACACCAGCTGTAATATTCTGGGAAGAACTTCATCTGTAATGAGACTAAGGTCTACTGCAACACTTGAGACACTACAGTAAGATACAGTACAATGAGAGAGAGAGAGAGAGAGAGAGAGAGAGAGAGAGAGATGCACAACTACTAACTTTCTCCTCAACTGTTGCACAAAGATGGTCCTCTGGAGCTGCGATTGTGCAGAGCTGTGAACAGGTGGCAAGACCTTTGCATCATCCAGGTCTTCCCTTGTCTCCTCCACCTCTCCTTCCTCGCTCTCCTGACAGGCCTCTTCATCACAGCTGCATTTGCTGCCTTCCACAACACATGGTGCATATACTTTACCACTGTCTCTTTCTGGTGTCTGGACAGGATCTCTCTCTGAATGTGTCTGTTGTCTCGCTTGCTCCACAAAGCAGCGGGTGTCGGGAGTACACCAGCTGGACATGCGTGGAGAAGACGACCGACCGGTGACAGCTTCGGGTGTGCCAGATGTACCGAATCTCTCGGCTCACTATCTCCAGACTCTGCATCTTCACCTTCATCAGTCACTCGTAGTTCACTAAGTTTACTAGTCGTTTCTGTTTAATACGTAACAATACAATTTGTTGGAGTGTTCCTGCCCCCATGACACAAACCTTTCATGGGCACTTCTTTGATAACAACTCCCAAATCTGCGGGCACTCACAACATTAACACATCAATTGAAACAATCACTCACCATCTGCCGGGCTTGTCATTGGTGGTGGTTTTACCACATCACTGGTTTGGAAATGCTCAGCCTTAGAGCCAGAATGTGGCAGAAACTTTATGACAACTGGACTGTGAACATTACACACAGAGACACCGTTGAGATCTTCATAAGCTAAAGATAACGTCCGTACGTTCCAATTCTCGTCGGTGGTGGTAGACTGGACAGCTGTGAAGCATAGTAGTTTGATGCTCGGTAGCACTCCACGCTGCAAAATTTCTACTGGCAAAAATAAGTAGCTAGCTATAATCAGCAGAGTATATACATACAAGTCTGGCAGCATGTAGCACATACTTTTCTCTGTGTCAGATCAAACACTTTCTTCAGGGCCAGTGAGATGTGGTACTTCTGCTGCGGCTGAGGTCCTAGAGGGTTACTGCATGGCGGATAGCCACATAGACGACTTATAATTCTCTCGTCCACCACGTCAGAGTAGTGACCTGGTGAAAACACCTGAGCCTTGGGGAAACAGGGAAGGTACAAAACTCAACATTATAAAGCAGAGATGTACTCACAGCTTCGATCATCATGTCTTCGCTCGCAGACGGCTCCAAAAGACGCTCTACCCACTGCAGGGCAGTAGTGGCACTGGCTTTCTCAGCCATCGTTCTGGTGAATAACCTTTACACCTCCTATGCGCGCATGCGCAGTACATACGCGACGTCCGCCTCCCCCGGCCTGTTCTCGGTCTTCATCTCTCTTGACTGTATATACTACACAGCCCCAGGTATTATATCTCTGAGATAACGCATGAAAATAAGTCGTCGGGAGTCCTTTCAAGCTAGTTAGCTTACTAATCTCGTAATGCTCTTTTCCCGTGTGGTCAGGCTCGCGAGGCTACACAGCTACGTATACTTCCCTATGCTCCTTCGGCTTTTCGGTATTGTGCTACCTGGTGTAGCTAGCTAACTACCGGTACATAGCTAGCTATTATAGAAGGGTCTAAGACTAGCTAGTGAGTTTGATGCGCAATGATTGATCTTGGGAGGCGGGTGTTTAGACGGAGGGGTGTGGATTAGCTTCACTGATCACAATAGTCTATAATGTTTGCTGAATTTGTATAATCGTAGTTGTAGAGTACTACAGGCAATCTGGTCACGAGTGACATTATAAAGGCGCTCTCATTGTTAATATAATGTATATACTTGGTTGTAAACTACTGAAAATGGCGCTTTCATTTCAGGAAAATGACGGTTAATGGAGTATATGTGCTTGTGGTCAGTGTTCTGCTTTCTGTGAGCTCTTTATGCAGCTCAGAAAAGACGACAAAGGTGTGTGTTATTCCAGCAGAGAACGTCACATGTAGCTGCCTGGTTTCCTGTCACACTTCGACTACTATGTATCCCATCCTGGATCAGTACTGTACCAGAGCAATTACTTACTATGGAGTTTCTACAGGCACTCACGTAGTAAAGAAATATTTTTCCAGTTGGAATCGTGTTGGATTGTATCTGGTTGGAAGAAGTGATGTAACTGTTGAAATTGATACTGATATAACCTCCTGGTTCTCTTTGAGTGAGAGTTCAAATATATCTTTCACTAACTTGAACTTTGAATTGATCAGTTCGAGAGGGACCTCACAATGTAAGTCAGATCATTATATATTTTACTTTGAAGACAGCTACAATTTAGAGTTTTCACACGTAAATTTAACGAATCCGTGTGGTGGAGGGGTGTACTTACAAAACACGAGTGACGTTAAGCTTACGTTTCTTATCTTTGATACATGGTTACATGGATTGAATTTGTCCAATATTGCCGGCAATGTTTATGTCTTTCATTGCATCCTTAATGGAAGAATGGAACACTCCCTAATGAGTGTACAATATTCACAGATAAAAAATGGTTCTAATTTGTGTGTGCATCACTGTGAATTCCATAATGGTAGTGGCTCACTGAACTCTCTGCTGTACGTTTGGGAATACCGCTACACCTGGGAGTAAACTAAGTTTGAATTTAGTCACATGTTTTCAGAACTCCAAAGGAGGCGATATGGCTGTTGATATTTTAGGCTACCTGGTGATGACGTAAGTGTTGAAATATCACTAGATAGTGTACATCTACTCGAAGCAATGTCTTATGGTATTTTTCTTAATTTGCTATATTTTCTGGAAAATATGACGTAAACATTACTAATAGCAAAATATACCATCATAATGAAGCTGCTATACGGGTTTATAATGGAATGGGACGAGATTCGACTGTATCAATATCTAATGTTGTCATGAGAATAATCAGGCTCACCCTTTTCATTTCCCTGTATCAGGACTGTTGATTAAAGGGACACTAATCCATCCTTGAACCAGCAACAGTCATTAATAACGTCACCTTTAGTTTCAAACAGCTATGTAGCATCGACAAGTGTCGACACAGTTGTGACAGTGATGCTATTCTTTGTCAGCGCATCACGATTATCAATTGCAGTTCGTGAACAATACAGGGACTGCTCTCTACTTGGAAAATAGCACTGTCAATGCCAGTGGATTCTTAACGTTTCTAAACAATACTGCACATAATGGAGCTGCCATTTTCATTAGTGGTCCAAGCGTTATTCAGGCCAATTTTAACTCGGTTTTGCTATTCAGGAATAACCGAGCAATTCATAATGGAGGTGCAATATACATTGATTATGGTAATATAAACCAGGTCGTCTACACGTTGGATAATGGTTTTATTCCAAATGCTGAGCCGTGTTTTATACTTCTAGATAACAATGAACCCACCACTTCACGGAATTACATACTAAATTTTGAAGGTAATGTTGCAATGATGGAGGCAATGATATATTTGGTGGTAATCTTGATGTGACACGATTTGAAGGTGATGGTACCAAGTGCATAGCGGCAATCAATAAAATCTCCAAAATAAACTCTTCCTCGGTGTCTTCAGTGTCTTCCTCTTCCTCCCGAGTGTGTCTGTGTTTCAACCTCTCCAGTAAGGCAAACTGCCTAGAATACACCACTGATGTTCATATCTACCCTGGACAGAGTTTTAGAGTCTCGGCTTTTACCGTGGGCCAGCATTTCGGAACCTCCAGAGGACCCGTGTATGCTCAAATCATGAATAAAAGCAGCAATTCCACTATACCTACTGAACAAAAAGTCCAAAGAGTGGATATTTGGAACTGTAGTGATAACAGCAATGTTCTGAAGTATAGCATGGAACTGGCGGCATTTAAAGAGAACGAAACAATTATTCTCACAACTGAAGACGTGTCTCTATCAGCGTATGTTAATAAAAGTGATATTGAAGGAGCTCTTGAGACGTATGAATTGAACAATAAGTCTTACGTTCCACTGCTTTTACTAGATCTGCCAGTGTACATAACAGTTCGTTTCTCGCATGCCCGAGTGGTTTTGACTTTATAAGGGGTATCTGTGATTGTACACGTGTATTCAAGAGATACAGCAGTGCAAGGTACAGTGTAGTATGTGACATTGAAACACAGGAGATTTCACGTGAATACAGTGTATGGGTTGATTCCAGCCCCAGTACTACGAGATACAGCCAGTACTGTCCTCTCCTCTACTGCAATGCATCAGTGGTTAAAGTGAACCTCAGCAGAGAACACGGAGCAGATGTCCAGTGCATCAATCATCACTCTGGAGTCCTGTGTGGAGGCTGTCAGCGTGGCTACAGTCTGGCCATTGGTAGCTCAAACTGCCTCCCACACTGCTCTGACAACTACCTATGGCTCCTGCTGGTCTTCGCCGCAGCTGGAGCCCTCCTTATCCTCCTCATAAAGTACCTCAACCTGACCATCACACAGGGAATGATAAGTGGACTAATTTTTTATGCCAACATCGCCCAGAGCAACAAGAACGCCCTGTTGACCTCTGATGCTCCTGGAGTGAGGTTCTTTGCTACGTTCATTGCTTGGCTCAACTTGGACTTTGGAATTGAGACGTGTTTCTCAAAAGACCTCGACATGTACACCAAGACCTGGCTCCAGTTTCTCTTTCCTCTCTACCTGTGGGTACTGGCTGGGGGAATGATACTGGCCTGTAGGTACTCACAACTAGCCACCAAGTTCTTTGGAAACAACACCGTCCATGTTCTGGCAACCATCTTTCTCCTGTCCTACAATAAACTCCTCATCACAATCACCACTGTTTACTCCTCTTCAACCATCAGCGTTCAGAATGAAAGCGGTGACATCACCGTGGAAGTGGTGTGGACGTATGATGGAAATGTGTCTTTCCTTGGAGTCAGCCACTCTCTCCTCCTTGCAGCCAGCACAGTAGTGTTGCTATTTCTCTGGCTACCATTCACAGTGTGTGTTTTGCTGGGCCAGTGGCTCCAGAGGTATAACCACTACCGAGGGCTAAGATGGATAGGAAGGATTACACCTCTTCTTGATGCCTACTATGGTCCACTGAAAGACAATCGTCGCTACTGGGTTGGTGTCTTGCTCCTGGCACGTGTTGTTGTTATTATACCAGCTGCTGATCCTCACGCTCCTGCTAGTGCTGCTATGCTATCCATTATCATCCTCTGCTCTATTCTTTTGCTTCTGACCGTCTTACTCGGAAGAGTGTACAAACAATTTCACCTCACACTTTTAGAGAGCACATTCATTACCAATCTTGGACTTTTTGCTGCTGTGTCGCTGTATTTGGATGACACTAACAGTTCTCAAAGCACAGCGGTGTATGTAATGTTGGGAATAGTCGTCTTTGCATTCGTTTGCATCATGGGCTATCAATTTGTGCATTCCATTTCAAGAGCAAGCAAATGTAAGAAAAAGAAATACATGAACTTGAGGGGAGGTTTACCTGATGGAGACACAGACGAGCGTTAGTGTTAATTTAGGTTGTTATAGTTGACTGCTGATCTCCATTTCTTTTGACTGATATCTATAATATAATATCTATTTGGATTCATACATTAATCTCCTTCGGCATGGTAGCCATTTAGCACAATATCTCTATTTTGGATCAGTGGTATATATATATCTTTCCCTGAGAGTTTTGATTAAACCATCTCTTCAACTGAGCAGATAATTATGTGGACCTCACAGCACTAGTAAGCATACCACATCTCGCACTGGCTCAAAGGGAGTTTTTCATTGCACTTTGCCACAGCCTTAGTTTTAGCTATTATATAACTGACTTCACCTGGACTCTTACCTTATCGGTCAAAGGCCTTACACAATCACTTCCTGTCCGAGCGGGCGGCATGCGCATTTCGTTCCTCTACGCCACGTCAATTATTAACCCTCGTCGCGCATGCGCAGCGAGGGTTACAGTAGTCGTAAAGTTCTGTCTGTCTGTCTGTCGGTCGACGCTTATTCTGGCACTACAGGCTACGAGGCGGCCCATTAGCGATACCAGCGGATTCAGAACTACGGGAGCCTGAAAACGTATTAGGCGATTTTCCTGAAACGACTTCGTTCGAGAGATATGCCGTGAAAACAAGCGAAAAAGCCAACCGCGACCTGATCCGCTCGCTCTGTGTACCTTGGGGGCTCAGGAAGTCACAACGAATGGCATATACCGACTCCCGCATGCTATCTACTACTGTAGCTAGCCCGTGTCTGACTCTCCGCGGGCTACTAGCGGAAGACCACGAGTAAAAGCATACAAATAGCCGGCCCAGCCCATCAATTAATTATAAGTATCGCGCATGCGCAGTTCGCCGAGGGTTTGCACTTTAGCATTTTCGCAAGCAAGTGAAAAAGGCGATGCACTGCTTGAGCACGCAGGTCGTGGTGACCAGCAGGATTCTGGCCGCTGGAGGCTGTCTCCTCGTATCTCTGACAGTACTGGCCGCAATCCTCGTTCTGCACCGCCGGAAGGCCTGGGAAACGCTATCGAAACGGCTCTTCATAGCATACGTCGTATTCACCGCCGTCAGTGCTGTTTGTTGCTCTGGGAGGATCGATTACTCTCACACATCCCTGGAAAGTTCTGACACAAATAACAGCTCCGGTTCCTGCTTGGAGTTGGCTCTGGCACTTCACTTCACCGGGGGTCTCGCTTCGATGTCGTACTGGTCTTGGGCACTCTCCTTCCTCGTCCACGTAACTCTGCCGGTGATTGAATCAAGCCCCAGGCCCAACTGAACCAGTTGCTAGCTGTTGGAAAGAAAAGAGGTGCTCGGATTGCAATCGAAGTTTCAATCTTCGCTGTGATTATACTGGTTCCTGCAATAGTGACTTCCCTGGGAACCGTTGGCTCTTGCTGATACGCCTGATTACGGATCCAACGGGCTTTGGTGCGACTACCAGCATCACTCTGTGTTCAACTGCTCTGAGAAAGCCCCGTACTACAATACTGGTACTTTTTACCTCTCCACTTTACCTTATACCTCAACTGCTGTGTTTTGCTGGGTATTAGAGCTGTTGGTAGTCATATTGCTCTGTGGATTGCGGATCAAGTTCAAAAACACCATGATAGGGAAGCGTATCCTCACCAGTCTACCTAGTGTCATATTTCTCCTTGTCTGACAATCGGCAATTTTACTGTTGTTAGTAATCTTTCTCACTGCTACCGTTTGGCTAAGTACAACCAGAGCCCAAAGTCACAGTTCTTATGGATCCTACACGCCACTCTTCTGATTCTATCCAATGTTATAACACTTCTCACAGTCAGTTTATATCTTCATTTCCCTCTTCGAAAGTGCTGTAACCGAGTCTCTGAGAATGTAAACCAGCACAAAATATTCAGCTCGGACGGCGAGGGCTGCAATCCTGCATCTGAATGGAACCATCGTGCTATGCCCAGTGAAACAACTGCCTACTGTCCAAATGAAATGTCTGATTGTATATCAGAAGAAAATGTGGTGCTCGTATCTCGTGACTATCACTGTGTGAGCTATGGAATTAACTGATATTTGGTGAACTACCACTGTCAACATGGTTATCGGCAGTCCACCAAGTAGTATATAATATTTACTCATAATCCCAAATACACATTGTAGAGTGCTTTCACTGTTTTTACTTCAGCCAGCCACGTATATACCAGAAAACAAGGGTGTTATTATAGCCAAAACCCCTCATTTGACAGTCAAGACACACTGGAAGATAACTAGCAATGAAAAGCACTGAAGTTACGAAAATTGCCAGTTTTAAAATCAAGCAAATTAGTGCCAAACTTGTTGGTGTAGACTTTTGACGATCTTGTTGCGCCTTATTATAGTGAAGAAAACGGGAACTGACACAGACACACCAACCAAGTACCGTAACCCTCGCTGCACATGCACACCAAGGGTTAATAATAATTATACCAACCACTATTGTCTTTACATGCCACACTTCCTTATATCTCTATTGAGGCAGTGGAAAATTCCGAAACACCATCGCACGCACATGTGCATAGTCATACTCCACGATTCTTTGATTATGAACATCAGACCAAAAATAAAATAGGGCAGAGAATACAAAATGGTGCAATGTGAAAAGTTTGATGCTAATTCTCAGTAGAGGGTGCATGGCAGGGGGCGAGAGAACCAGGTGCTCTCTATGAGGTTGAATCTGCTGCGGCCAGCTCTCGAATGGGCCTGCTGTGGAGTCCAGAGTTGGTGGCCACTTTGAGGAACTTGCTGGACGAGTACTTCTTTCTGACGGCCTGCTGTTTTGAGGTGGCCATGTGGGATACGAGCCAGGTCAGTCTCCCTGCACACGGCAACAGCTGAGACTCTGAGTACGTGCTGTAGTGGTGCAGAGTGGGGGTCTGCAGGAAAGAGAGTAATAGTTAATAATTCAACACACACTACTTACACCGACGCTAGTGCAACTATTACCTACGTGCATAGCGCAATATTTGTGATGCCATGAGTCTTTCTATGTGTCTTAAACTTATATGAAGCTCTCTGTATTACAAAGAGCAAAGCATAGCAAATTCAGGCTCATAATTGAGACCAGATCCAAGGGGAAGGATGTACTAATAATGGACCATCTCTGAAGTACGTACATCTACCAGACGGACAGAATATAAAGTCTCGTGCATCGCACAAAAGCTTCCTGTGCTCTTTCCTCACCCATTCTCCGTCGCTGCAGATCTTGCACGAGATGTAGAGGGCAGTGGCAGCCAGCTGGGAGGGCAGGAACCTCAGACAGTGGTAGTCAGTGAGGGACAGCTCCAGGAGGAACTTTGCCATCGTGTGCATCTCGGGACCAGCCTGCAGCAAACAAGACACTCACATGTACATAACACAAAGCCACATGTACACAAAAGTCACAAACAATTGGTTGGCTTTAGGCTTGTGTTAAATTTCCATTCCAAGCAAGCACACGGGATTGTACTACATATAGCGTATTCTGTTTTTAAGGTGGAAGTGTGATGTGACACGTAGTGCAAACAAGAGAAGCGAGGCTTGTTACTCACATTTCCAGCTCTGGAGTAGCGCCGGAGGAAATGGAGACAGAGAGGGTTCCCGAAACTGTAGTCCAGGGCATTGAGCATGTGTCTCTCCATGCTGCGGATGCGGTCACTGCTGTAGGTCCGGTCCGTTATGAAGACAAAGTCGTCCACCTGTGGTGCGTACATCTCCTCGTACTTGCTGGCAATGAGCATGGCCGTCACTCCCACCAGCTGCAAATCCGACTTGTCACATGGCTCCACCTGTAAACATCATGAAGTGAGATCAGCCACCATACACTCCACTACCGTACAGCGGGTAACTTAGAGAAAGAGCAGTGTCAGTGAGCCGTCCAGTTTAATTGTGGCAGGATCAACAACCCACAAAATGTATACATAAAATTTGTGTTAAAATGCGAAAGCTTCACCTCCCTAGTTCCCTACCATACAAGTAACAAGAGAGAACTGTATCCAACATGATAGCATAAGTTGAAGTCAACACATTGTCTACTGATTGTGCACGACTGTCACTTGTGTTCAAACCAAAGTCTAACGACATTTTGTGCAAGTCACTACTGTGGTTTTAAACTTAGCAATACCGAAGATTGAAGCTACAGTAACATGTTTGTGGGGTGTACCGCAAGATAAAAACACACTCTTCTTCACACCTGTCATACTACGGAACTAGCACGGTGCCTCGTGCCCTCCCAATCCCTCTGACCTGTAGGTATCTGTCGATTATTGAGACTGTGAGGTAGAGGGTCTCCTGCAGTAGGGTGAACCTGAGGTGGACCTGGATGAGCCAGTCGATGAGGATGGCCCTCATCTTGGAGTTGATCTGAGACTGTGTGGACAGGTAGGCTGGGTCCACCTGGTACTTGATCTGCAACACAGGAAGAAAAAAACCACGAAACAACACTCATGGAGCCCTTTTGACAACACTCGGTTCGTCCTCATGTAATGGGCATGCCGATAGGGAGAGCTACTATTCCACTACAGGGCCAAGTGCAAAGACTAATGAAAACCCCAGAAAGCTCAGCTAGGGACTTGTTCACTCCTACACAAAGCACATCAGCACTTCTTTGACTGTGAATAGTCATTTCAAAAACCCTTTTCACTTCAGACTTCTCAGAAATGCTAGGTGTGAATTGGACCAGGAAGCTAGCAACAAATTCACACGAGCAAACAGGCAAACCAGAGTTGGTGACTAACCTCCAGCTCTCTCATGTAGGCATAGATCTCCTTGACATACTCGGCACACAGCTGGGGGTTGTCCCTGTCACTCTCGTCAATATCCTCAATCACCAGCTTATTACTGAGGGCCAAGGCAATCTGCCCTACATCCATGTCCATGACCTCTGGCTCCGGGAACTCATCTTCCTGTGTGCGTGCGTGCGTGCGTGCAGTATGGAGTGAGCAAGAAGTCCGAGTCTGTTCATAGTCCTATTGCTTTTTGTGACAGGTAACAATACCTGGTGGCTGTATATATTAGTTGGCTAAACACCAAGTTATCATGTGAAAATTGGTGGACACTTCCCCCTTATTCTTAGGATAGGAGGGTATACAACTTGGGCCTTGTATAAAACCAGGGTAGAGCCCTGAATGTCCACAGTATGCCATACAATACCACCACCAAGCATTGTGGCCACCAAGTGTCTTGTCTTGTCTTGTAGCCCACAGTTTACGTACTGCACACACACACACCTGCTGGGGAGGGGTGGGTTTGTGGGCAGGAGTGGGCTGTCTGTTGTGAGTAGGGAGGGCAGATGTGGTTGTACTGGTGGTGAGCTGGGAGGGTGGCCGCGTAGTGAAAGCATCGGTCTTGACCCTCGTGATCTGGGCTGGGACTGCAAATGCTGTCTTTGTAACACCACCCTGGGAGCAGTACAGGGAATATACACAATGCTAAGATTGAACACTTGAAGTGTGCAAGGGAAAAGCAAAGAAGAAACGCAAAGATAGAACAAGAATCAGCTACTGAAGGCCCGTGTTTCTACCAGCCTTCAGTCGAGTCAGCTACTCTTGTTTTGTAGCTCACTTTTCCGGAAGGTGCGTGTCTGTCGCGGAGACTGTTTCCTCCGATGGTCCCTAGAGCTGTCCGCGGTTTGATGTCCATCCTGGTCAGAGCAGCCTTGCCGCGCGGTATGTGGGACACGTTCTCGTCCGCACTGGTCTGTGGAGAGAGGGGGACAAGAGGGCGGGAAAACAGATAAAACACTTTCACCCGCCGCTTGGTTTCACGTCGCCCTCCGTTCTGCTTACATGAAACGCTCTGAGAGCCATTCTTCGGGTCTTCTCGTCCACTTCAAACAGGAGCAAAAAGAGAAATGTCCACCGGCTCAGTGGCACCTGCCGTTTTTGCTGCTGGCGATTCGAGGACGAAATTCAAAATTCATCCGTCCTCAAATCTGATTGGTCGATGGTCACCATGGAATTCATGCGCAGCTGATACACAAATTACGTCATAGCTAGATCGCCCCCACTTGCAGAACTAAAACGACTCCCTAGCACTCTTCTAAGAGACCTTCCATCATGTCTGGTCATGAAATCCAGTCAGACTCGACTGCGGTCACCATTCCCAATGCTGGTAGAGCATCTGGACGAAGCACACTAGAGAAACTGTCCCAGTTGGAGCAAAGGTTCTAATTAGAGCGCACCACGAACACCTACTCTGTGCACATAATCTTAGAACCAGAGGGTGTATAACATTAGTGATGAGTGGTAGCCTGTTTCTGACCCCCTCCCAGAGCGGTGTCTCTGGAGCGAGAGAGGAATTCTCAGCTATACAACAGGAGACACGAGTTCAGAAAGGTGTTCTGCAGTCTGGAGGAGACTGAGCTCAAACTAAACCAAGACCGGAAAACTGAGAGTAAGTATCTCTGGTCTAGTAGATAGAGATACAGTTGAACCCCTCTCTAAGGACAACCCTGAAATGAGGACATCTTTATCTTTCCAAAGGAACAGTTTGGATGAGGCAACCTCACTTGGGCCATTCAACTGCAGATTATATCTGAAAGGGTGTTCTTGTATGAAAAATGAAAAGCTTGAAATTGAGGGTTTAATCAGATGTAGCCAGCTAGCATGTGTCACTTCAAAACAGAGTTAACTACATGTGAGTATTCTCGTGTGCTGTTGTGACAGCCAAGAAACATGTCTAGGAGTCAAATAATAAGCAGATATACTGTCGTGCTATGGTCATGTTCCTTCCCTATATATGTAATGTGCAATCATTATGCACACACTTTTAGTCCGTAACATGTAACACATGTAAATCCAACAGTGCTGTCTCTGCGCATAGTGTGTGTCCTTCACCTCTCTGTCTGTGTCTATTGTTCAGAGAAAGAGCTGAGTCAGCAGATCTCCCGGATCAGGGCCAACGTGCAGAGGTTTCAGAAGATGCTGGAAGACATGAGACCTGGCCCCACCTGTGAGTTCTCAGGCTGGCTTTTGCTTACTACTTACGTATATGGTATCCAGAATACACAATATATAAGGCCATAGACCACGCCCCCAAAGCACTGGGTGGAGCTAACAGTGCTATGCTCCCACGCGAAAGAGGGTCTGGTATATAAGGTCCGATTTCTTGGTTGTGCTGAGTCAGCATGTTCGGAAAACGGGTAACCCAATCAGATTGCTAGATTTCAAACTATCATGTGACATGAAGGCGATCTGCAATGCCCACCGGTTCTGCACATGCGCAGCGCAAAATGGATGGGGGGTGCTGACCAGGTAATCACATGACTGACAGGTTGTATGCAATTTACGTACACATCTGCATGCTGATTCAGCACAACCAAGAAATCAGACCTTATAATACGAGATCCTCTTTCGCGCGGGAGCACGTGAGGGTCTGGGCGCGAGACTAATCTCCTAGATGCCTCAACTTGCCAGTGCTCACAGCATTCCTTCCCAGTTTCCCAGATTTTTCTTCCTATATACACCCATTGTTTTATCTTAACCTGAAAGACTTACCCTAAACACGATATTACTTCATTATGTCTATTGTGTACTGCAGTCCTGGAGAGGCTGAAAGAGGTACTGGAGGAAACCGAGACCTCCATACTGGCCTTCAAAGACAGACAGAGAGAAGTGTGAGACTCATTGCCTTCTTGCGTGCTACACACCATCCACCATTACTTGTTTACTTTGCCTTTGCCTTGCTATAACCTTGTTGATGACATCTACATGATAGACCTATATTGCATGTATGCAGGCATGTAGCCATGAAGGCTTCTGTGAAGACAAGCAGTCTCTTTTGACACCATCATATTTATCGTATATAGTGTCTAGTTTAACCCCTAGCCTTGTTCCCTTGTAACGTGTACTGTGTATTGAACTAATACCAGTAGCATGTTTTTCTTCTGTTCTTTCGTAAATTTGCTTAGTACACCATATGAGTACATACATAGCTTGGATTGATCTACGTGAGTAGAGATGTATCTGTGGTGCTATGTTACATTCTACAGCTATGAGAAGCTGCTGGTAGAGGAGAGGCAAGTATCTCAGGAGGTGATAGCCTTCCAGAGGAGGATGGAGGCCTGGGCTACCAGCACCACCACCACTACTCCTGGGTCCCGTGGAGTCCAGGTCACCACTGCCAGTGGTACTACTGCAGTGGCTGGGGAGAGAGGGAGAGAGGGGGAGGCTGCTCTGCCTCCTGCCATGTTGGAACTAGAGGTATTCACATGATGGTTATATAGTTGTGTCAAGTGTTGTGGCCAAGTGCATCAAATTTTCATGAAAAGTCTTTCTGCAAATCTGTTCTGACACGTAGTACGATCCTCTTCTCACTAATTGTGTGCAGAGGTTTCTGCGGCAGACGGGGGGAGTGAGGGGTGGCTGGGATGACTACGACCACAACACTTTCCTCCATCTCAGGACCAAACACTCAGTCAGTGGGGATAAGTGGGACTCTATTAGTACACGGCAACCTGCCCTGCCCCAGCAACCTGTGTTTCATACATTGCAGCAACATGTTTCGACGTAATTGCAGCAAAAGCAGCAAGAGATAAAAACAGTGTGCATGATTGCTTGCAAGTCTAGGACATTCATGTACTGAGACCATAGGCAACTTTCAGCAAGAAGTTGTCACAGATAGAGAAAGCCTAAGAATCTGTATCTATCTGATGGTGGTAGCTACAACCTTCAAAGTTCATTCAGCAGTATTCATTCATCATCATTATATTCTGTGTTGTCAGAATGAGAGTGCCTTGGTGGAGGCAGCACTGCGAGAGCTGCCAACCAGAACAGAGTCGGAGGTGAGGGCACACTCTGCCTGGTACACAGAGTACTCATCTCTACTGGAGGCCAAGAGACTGGCCATTCAGCAGTGGAAGAAAAACAAACAGGTAACTTTACTTTAAGATTCCAAGCATAGCCAGTTGGTGTCCTGGTGAAAATGTCATACTGCACATGTAGTGTACAGTTTTCTCTTGCATTTGTCTACACTTCTTTACAACCTGTTAACATGCTTACCTACACAATCACATATTGGCATCATGCAATGAACCACATGCTGTAGCGTTCCTCAGTCGCCATGTCTCGCATAGATATTATTTTTAGTGACATTTATTTTGCTATTTTTAACATTTCTATTTTTTTTACACGTGTATATGTTGTGCGTTATTTAGAGTAATCGCACGTTTTTTCTATCTAGGTTGCATCGTCGTACTGCGTAAGTTTCAGAGTTTTTATATTTTTCTATGAGTCTATTATTTTGGGTGGGGTGGTTTAAGGGTTCTTTCTTTTCCTCTGATATTATTCTTTAGCTAGTATGCTATAAACATGTTTTGTCATGTGTCCAGCTGGCCCGCTCACAGCAACTGAAGACAGGATCTGTCAGAGAGGGAGACAGTGAGTCCAGGAGGAAAGAGGCAACGGGAGAGAGAGAGAAGAGAGAGCAAGAGAGACAGACCAACAAGGAGAAACTACAGGCATGGAAGGTCCTGACATAGAGAAGTAGTGTGAATGCTGTTTGTGCATTGTGTTCGGTACTAAAAGTCATCACTGACTGTGACTGATGCCATTGGTATCTTCAGAGAACCATGTACAAGTATTAGCACCTGGATAACCACCATCATTATAGGCTTTTGACACAGCATTATGCGGCCATGGCTGGTTAAGTGTTAAACTGTTATGGGCCCTTGTCACACCTGAATGCTCACAACATGTTTCAACTATCAGGTTCAGCAGGAGCAGAAGAGACAAGAAGCAGAGAATGCTCGACTCAAGGAAGAGGAAACGAAAGCAAAGAAATATGAGAAGGAAACAATTAGACAAGTAAGACACACTCACCCAAGTCTTCTTTTATTGTGTACCTTCAGATTTGGTGATGCATGGAATAGACCATTATGTCAAAGATCATTATGCATCCTTGCACATAAAGAACTAAAGTGCAAACCCTCGGCGAACTGCGCATGCGCGGTACCGCTAATTGGTGGGCTGGGCTATTTGTAGTATATATATGCGTGCGCGTTTACTCATCCAACGTTGGCGCTTACATTGAACGGAGCGCTTACACGCAGGCCGTCTTGCTTTGACCTACCGTCGGTGGCTCATCTAGCATAGCTTGTCTTTGGCCGCTTGCAGCAGTAGCTAGCGTCTGAAGCAACATTCCACCGACCAGTTGTCATTGGAGTAGCTGCTGCGTTTCGTTGGTCCCGAAAGTGTGCACAAACGGCTCGCGGTGAGCTGTAACTTATTTGCATATTGGCTTTTTCACGGCATAACTTTGGAACGGAAGGTTTTTTCGAAAATCCACGAGTCAAAATCCAAGAAAAGCCTACGAGAAACCCGTGTGTATCGTTGCTTGCGGATATAAACCGACGCTGAAGCAGCTAGAGCGGTAACACACACACAGACAGACAGACAAGACAACTACAGTAACCCTCGCGCATGCGCGCCGAGGGTTAATAATATGTATGTAGGGTTTAAAGGAGCAACTGCACGTGCTCCAAACATGACTTTCCAGTCCGGGCTCAGTTCTTACACGAAGTTGCTAGTAGCCATTTCTTGAGCTTGCCGTGGTGTGTAAAGCACCACAGCATGCTTCCCAAATAGTTTTGCATGTGTCGTATAGCACATTAAATCCCGTGTTATGTGAGTGTTGGGTAGAGATGCGAGAGAAGGTAATAGAAAATAGAGTTGCATGCTGCCCCGTGATTGTGCATGTCTTGTATGTAGGAGGTTAAATGCTGTAAAATACGTCTGCCATGCTTGAGTGTAGGCGGAGGTGAGAGAGGAGGTGAGGGGGGTACCAGGAGAGAAGGGAGAGAGAGAGACAGGCTGTGGCAGAGCAGGAGAGGCTGAGGAGACTGGCCAGAGAGAGGGAGCAACAGCTCCAGGCCAAGAGAGAGATTGAGCAGTTCAGGGAGAGGGTGAGTTCCATGACCTGGTGCAAATGCAGATACAGTGGACACTTCTCAATTGTCCTTGCTTATTACTAAACACAGGTTAAAACTTAGCACCAGATGGAAATAGTGTCCTAGGAGTCTCCATAATTAGAGGTTCCTCTCTAATTATACTATATATATATGACATATGAAAAGCCTTGTTACTGTGTGCACATGGAGTAATGTATTAGCAGGATCGTGTGTTGTTGACAGGATGTGAGAGCAGTGGCAGAGAGGAAAGAGAGAGACAGACAGAAAGAGGCTGCGAAGATGGAACAGAAGATGAGACTTGATAAACTGAAAGAGCAGGTAATGTCTCTGTCAGGCATTCTCTGAATGAGTAGCACTAGGTGCCTCAGTTGCACTATCAACGTGGCCAAACCCCCAGCAACCTATGCACACAAAATTAATGACCCGTAATCTACGTCGTCAACTGTGCTGCGATAACCTATCACCTGGGGAATGTGCTATGGCTATACTTATGGGTGGTCGTTTATTTAAAGAGTCCTTTTCAGAGTTTTGACTCAACCCCCATATTGGTAAATTGTACAGGTGGTGGTGAGAGTGGCTCGAGACCCAGAGAGGGTCCTGAGACCAACCAGTGGGTGGCAGGAGAGGAGAAAGGCGAGGGAGAGGGAGAGAGAGGAGGGAGGAGGAGGGTTAGCTGTTGGGGTCGGGGCTCGTACACTACCGAGACGTGCAGTACCTGCCTGGAGACAAGGACTCTGACTGAATCGATATTTAGTGCTTTCATGTAACCTTCAGCCATCAGATCCTTTCATTTTTTCCCATGCACGCAGTTTTACACTGAAGTGTGCATTAACTTAATGCACACTTTCAACTTTCAACATTCATACTTTTAATTATGGTCAAAAACAATGCATCTTAAAGGGAACTGAGCTGTGGTGTAAACCTGGATGAGTCTCTCCCAGAGCAGTGAGTAGAGAGGAATGGTAGTTCTTGTCAGGGCAAGCGTTTCAAAAACTGGCCTCGAATCCGTTTGGCATCATGCAGTTCAAATTAGTGCACTCCAAAAGAGTGATAACGAATGAGGTTGTGTAATGAAGACTAAACAGCATAAACTTAATCCAATATACATGTACGATCTAGTACATGTACACTTTGTACACATGTGCAGTGATGTACTTCAATGCCACATAATTATAATTATAGTTGACCATAAATTTACGTAAAAATGGAAAGGTCTTATTATACAGAGTCAAAATCTTTAAAAAGTTCACCATAATCCTTGAGAGAACCTGAAGAGAAGGGGAAAGAGAAGATGAGAGGAGGGAGGAAGGCAGAAGAGGACATACTCTCACCCGGAGGGGATAACTGTGGGTCCTGGTCAGTGAATTTCTTATCAAAGTAGTCAGTGCTCGTCTGTGAATGGACAATGGGGACGAAGGGAGGATAGATCATCTTGTTGTAGACATTGTCCCAGTTTATGGTCTCGAAGAACACGTGGGACTTGACCTCCTCTGCATCTCCCTCTCCTCCTCCAAGTCTGTAAAATAATAATACACCTCGATTCTCATTTTCCCTCTCTTGTGCTTTCACATAACCTTTTTCTGGGGTCTTTTTCCAGCAGTTGACTAAGTAGAGACCTGGATTTCATTGACAATCATGAGGGATACTTGACCTCTTCCTGCATAGGAAAACAGACACATGAGTGGTGACTTCCAGGGGGCCAACTATTGATGCCTTCTCTATATAGCAGCCGGTAGGTAGAAAATAGAAATAGCTATTATGGTACAGCAGGTAGCATGTTTACAGTCACAATGCACCGCCCTCTCCATTAATTATGGTGTGTGGGTTGAAAATGATCCCCGGCAGTAGACAATGAGCACTTCATACATGTAACTATAATTTATTATAGAGCTTTAGAATCAGGCACACCAGACCACACTAGGTCCATTAACTCGGGCTTTGGGGAGTGTCACTATTATCCTATCCTCTCCCTTCCTTTTCATGTATGTACCATCCCCATTACACGTAGCAATGACTAACCTTTACAATCAGTTCAAAGAGAGCCTCCAGGTCTTCAGAGTATATGGAGCAGAATGGGAGTCCCCTGCACATCATCGCATACATGACCACACCCACTCCCCACCAGTCCACTGCCCATCCATAGTCAGAGCCCTTTACCACCTGGGTTCACAATACACTATGCAGTGAGACCATAAGATTTAAGACCACACCCACCTCAGGAGCTGTGTATAACGGAGCACCACAGAAGGTTCTAGTTCTGTCTCTGGAGAAGATTCCCTCCTTGCAGAGACCAAAGCCTGTGATCTTGATGTGTCCGCTCTGATCCAACATCAGATGCTCTAGCTGTGGTTGCACAACAAACAGTGGATAACACTTGGCATGCATGCATAACGAGGGTTACTTTGTCGTTTAGCAGTCTGATATTCCCATGACGTCAGTACAACGAGTACTTCATCCAACTGCGCATGCGTGTTTGAATTACGCACTTACTTTACACGAAACGTTTTTGCTTCCTACACACACTCCACAACCCACAGTATTTAAAAGTCCACGATCAAATTACTGATGCACATGTGTGACGCCATGCTATGTACTTATGTGTGTATCGTGGGTTTGCACTTGAGTGATAGCTGGTAAATCAGTGACACAGCAAACTAACCGAGATTCCTCGATAGATAATTCCCTGGTTGTGCAGGTATTGAATCCCCAGAGTTATCTCAGCTCCATAGAATCGGGTGCGGTCCTCGGAGAAGACTCCCATACTGCTAAGGTGGAAAAGTAAATTTCCTCCTTTGACATACTCCATCACTAGACACAAATGGTCGGGTGTCTGAAATGAGTACTTGAGCCTCTGTACAGAGACAGAGAGAGGTAACTACTGTATCCACTGTGAAGGGTGGGACTCTGACTTACAGCAAGGAAAGGGTGACAGTTGAGTTGGAGAACTCTCCTCTCCGTAACAGTGTACGAGACATTGTCTTTGTCCACTATCACATACTTCTGGAGTATCTTCATTGCCAATATCTCTCCCGTTGCCTTCTCTTTGCACATCACCACCTGTATAGAGAGAGAAAAAGAGAGAGCATACCCCCTCTCAGAATAAACATACCTTCCCATATGTGCCTCTTCCCAGAAGCTTCAGGATCTTGAAATCCTCCAATGTCTAGGGAAAAGAGGATGAGGAGGGAAATAGTGAACAAATGTAATTGGTGAGTAAAGCTAGTCTTCTGTATTAACCATACAGATGGTACTTTAGCCATACTTATGTGTAAACCACTGAAATTGTGTATAATACACATACTCTGCATTTGCTCACCAAAAATGCTCATTGTGTGTAGCTATACCTTGGGGTTAGAAGGAGCTAAAGGTGGGGACTTAAGCTTAGGAGGGCGGGGTGGAAGGCGGGGTGGGGGGAGAGGTGGAGGGAGGAGTGGAGGGAGGGGTAGAGGGAGACGTGGAGGGAGACGTGGAGGAGGAGGGTCAAAGACGGACAAACGAGAGTCTGTCACTCTTGGTTGCCTGTTCACATATACACATCAAGGGAAGTATGCAATACTACATCATAGAGGCATGTGCCAACTACACCCAGGGTAGCTCTTTCTTTTCAATGAAGAGCTGCCCTAGGTGGGATTCGAACTTACGACAGTCTGCTTTCTAGGCGAGCGCTCTACCAACTGAGCTACCAGGGCAACTCAGCTGGTAGGGGTTTGAATCAGCACAAAGGCAAACCTCAAACCACTGTGCTATGGCACAGTATATATGCTCTCACTCAGTATGTAGGAGCAGACCGGGGTAATTAAACCACCAAAGACGCCCAACTCCAAACTGAGTATATGTATGTCTCAACTTGGTAACAAGGTAAAAAGGCAAGGCAAAGCAAACAGGTCAACTACACCAAGGACAGCTTTTTCTTTTAAGAGCTGCCCTGGGATGAAGGTGCACCATGAGCAAAAATAATACACACCTTGTACTATGCGGTGTGTGACTGCTAGGAAAATCCTCATCATCAGTTGGCGAGCTGCTTCCCAACACCATTTCTCTTACTTGCTGTGCTAATTCAATCTCCTGTATCTTGGGTGATTCGAGAATCCTCACCACCTTCATTAACACTGATTTCTTGAGATGCACTGACTCTACTGAAAAAAGGCAGCAACTACAAACTACTAGCTATTACTTTAACTTACCCTTTTTGGTATGCGACTTGTATATACATTTTCGTCTACTTCTTTAAGATGTGTAAAATATGGAGCTTCTTTCTTTGCTGTGATCAGATGTTGGTATAACATACTCTTTAGCTGCTAAGCACATGCTATCCGTAGCTAGTTAATTCCATGGGTTCTCTCTCCACAACGCTGACATCATGGTAACATAATTTGGCTAGCTGACATCATGTTAACACAATTGGCTAATGTGCATGCATGAAAATCACATTTTCCAAAGTGCACATGAGCGACCGATGAATTGCTTGACTTTACTGTTCACACAGTCAGCCATGTAAAAATTAATGCTGGTTCAATAGTTCCAACTTTTATACCTTGGCCATTTTATAAGGGGGCCTATGCCCCCTTCCCCATCCCCACTCACTCCCTTTGCCCCTGGCCTAGGTTCACATTCATGAGGATGGTATCTAGATAAGGCACACCCAAAATAAACTACACTACGACTGTAGTAGACAAGATGGATGGGGATTACCTGGCAGGGAATTTTTCACAAGATACTCAGCACTACCAGATCCAGTTCCCAGTCCACTGTCTCCAGTCTGATCATAATCCTTTTCCGTCGCACCAACCGCCGGTAAACCAAGTGAAGTAACTAAAGGAAGCAGAGTAACTCGTAATTACTCACACCCTAATTTAGTCGTAATTACCCTCATCCACAACTGTAACATTGTACAGGTATGTAAAGTTGGGTGTCAATGCTGCAAAAACCATCGCCGTACAGTCAGGATGAACACGAAACTGCACCAGAACCGAACTTTCAGCAACTCTCGATATAAACACCGTACGAATGAACAGAAGCATTTTCTGCAATAGCTTCCTTTAGTTGTCGAATCTCAAAAAGTGTGCACACGGAAGTGGGCTTATTGATTTTCATGGCCATTTGAGTGAATCCTTTGCAAATTTCACCATCTGGAAGTGCTGAAATTGCATGAAGGTAGACAAAAACTGTTGTGCTGATTTCAAATTTTCGTATTGAATCACAGTACATTGTAATTCTTGTCTTTAACTTAACATCACCATATCTTTTGACAACGTGCACGATAATCTCATAGTTGCAATAGTTACAGTAACGGCCAAGGATAGCAAACAATTTCCTAATATTTTCAGCTTTGAGGATTTCATCTTCGTTCTTAAGAAAAAATTTGGAATGAATAGCTTTTTTGGCAACGGGAAAATTAAGAAGAAAATCCGAAAAACTCTCCAAAAACTTCTTATCTTGTTTCTCTTTCTCAGATAGTAATGCTCGTGTCTCGCATGTAAGCTGTAAAAACTGATCTTCAAGATCTTCTATTTCAGTCCTAACTGTTTCTATGTTCTTTTGGCTTAACATCTCAGTGATGTTTGGTGGGCCAACTGGTGAGATTGGAGGAGGGGTGACTGTAATAGGGCAAATGAAATGAGCTGTATCTACCATCTTAGCTAGTGCTGGTAGGTCAACCATCCGACTCTTGAGAGCTTCTACAATGACCCTCCATGTCGGTCTCGGCTCCACTTGCTGCAAAAATTTGATCAGAACTTTGAAAAGATATTTGTCAGGCGGCATGTCCTTGGAGTGGATGGCCTCCACCACGTGATGCGGCAGTTTCAACTTCAGGCCCATCTCGTATGATTTGTTCTGTGCTGGTAGTAGCTCCTCCAACACGTCCACTTGTCTTCCGCTGGAGCTATAAGACACATATTGTAGAATTTATACAGCTATGGCCAGTGGCGTCTCCGGCTTCACTAATAGCTACTAGCTACCTTCTGGCTATAAACTGAACGTACCATCAGCCATTATAGCTAATCCATCCAAGTTCCTCCGAGCCGAGGACCTTTCACAAAAATATGCGCACGCGTAAACTCATGCGTGGGAGAGGGATCTGTAATAATAACTATGCCTCTCCCCACAGACGAAGGAATTTCCAACCACTTATCTCGAGTGGTTGCGGGTAACCCCAACTGTGATGAATATCATTATGCGCTATTAACGCACGTACGCGCACACACACGCGGACGGCGCGCGAAGGGGAAACATTTTTGTGGAGCCGCAAATTCTGTGCCAAGGGCGGCGCCGTGTGACACTATTATTATTGCACTTCGGGCGCTCGAGGGATGCACGGGTTGAGTACATACGCTCGTCACATTCCTCGGCTGAATCATCAAATGTGGACTCAGAAAGGGGTAGTTTAGCTCGTAGTAGAACCTTCCAGTGAGTTTAGAGAGTGAAAAAAAAGCTGGATGGTTGGTAGGTATGTGATACTAGCGGTTGAGTTAGCCCTGCATGCATGCTGCACTCCCCGGCCCTATAAGAGCTACGTGCGACGCATGCGCACTGTGCCCAGTGCCGAGGATCGAAAGAGCGCTTGCCGCCCCGCGATTTTGACTCTCGACGCGCAGAAAACTGCATGGCGCCGTGATTGGTGTCATAGCGCCAAATCTACACCCCTGACATGCGGGAGTCGATACGCGCCCTTCGTTGTGACTTCTTGCGCCTCCTAGGTACACCGAGCAGGCGGATCGGTCGAAGTAAGCCGCTGCTAATTTGCCTATTGGCTTGTTCACTTGCTTTTCACGCAGTAGTAATACGAAAATCGCCTTTCTTTGAAATGAAGCCAGTGCAGCGATGAACCCGTTGGTGTCGCTGTTTTGTTGTAGCAGAAAGACGGACGGCCGGACAGACACACACTCTAAGTGTAACCCTCGCTGCGCATGCGCGCCGAATGTGCACTGTGTATCATGTCAGTGCACACTGTTCCATGTGTTCACTATGTTTTGCTGTGTTTTACGACGGTGTTTCTTGTTCTATGTGTTTGCTGTTTTGTGTGTTCTGCTTTGTTTCCTGTTCTCTACTGTGTGTAAATTGTGTTTCGTTGTGTGTTTCACTCTGCAACAGTGGCTATCACAAACAAAGATGACCACACACAAACCTGCTTTAGTGTCTTTGTAGGGAGGACATTGGTGGTACGCATGCATGGCTCAGTCAGGCACACCTCACACGTACCCGTCTCAACTGGGAATGGATTTCGCTAAAAGCCCAGTAAGAAGATAATACTCGTCATTGTTCTGCCCCCAACAGAGTGTCATCAACCGGATGTGGTACTCAGATTACTCAGAAAAGATAATAGATGTGTGCAAACACTTCTACAGTAAACTTTGGAGGCGTTTTGAGCCTTGGCTAGTGCCAACACAGCTATTCATTTGCATGTGACAAGAAACACTCAGTTCCTTCTTCTACCCCTTTGCATGGTATACCATATTATACAATTCAATGTGCATACTCAGTTAGCACCAATAGCTCAGATTACTTAAAGGTTGTGGTACTCAGATTACTACAGGTGCAGTGCTCAGATAACAATAGCTCAGATTACTAAAAGGTTGTGGTACTCAGATTACTACAGGTAAAAGGTTGCTACTCAGATTACTACAGGTGCAGTGCTCAGATAACTCATGATGGAACAATAGCTCAGATTACTACAAGGGTGTGGTACTCAAGATTACTACAGATGCAGTTCTCAGATAACTCATGGAACAAAAGGATGTGGTGCTCAGATTACTCATATACTACAAAACAAATTGTCAAAAACACAACTTCAGTGCTCAGATAACTCTTGGAACAATGGCTCAGATTACTAAAAGGGTTTGGTACTCAAATTACTACAGATGCAGTGCTCAGATAACTCATGAAACAAAAGGATGTGGCAGAGATTACTCATACCTCAAAAACAGATAGTCTTTGTTCTGCCCACAGCAGAATCAACAACAGAATGGGGTTACTACAAACTCCAGGCTGAGCTGTTCCCAGTAATAATATAATACTGTAGCTATATAGGCTGTTATAAAAGGAGCACTGTCTCCCACTACCATCCAAGATAAACCCGAGTCTGTGAGAATGGTTCAACTAACACACATCCTCCTACTGACAGTCCTACTCTCTGGGATTACAACTGCTGCTTCAGTTGGACAGCAAGAAGGTACATCACTCAGGCTTTTTGGTAAAAGAGGTACATCAGCCTCGTGGAAAAATTGCCTTTGTGCTTGCAGGTGTAACAGAACGAACCGCCAGAGCTTCTGAGACTGCCGACACAAGCCAGTACCAGGAGGCTGGATTAGCACCTAATCGCCAGGAGGGGTTGATATGCTGCAATTGTCCAGCAGGACGTGATGGGCGTCCTGGGTTGAATGGTCGTGATGGATTCGCTGGTCTTCCAGGTAGAGATGGCTCAAAGGGAGAACGCGGATATCGAGGCACTGAAGGACGACCAGGAGCACCAGGATACCAAGGAGTACCAGGATACCCAGGACCACAAGGACCACCTTCACCAGGTAGTGGAGGGAACACTTACATCAGATGGGGTCGTACTGTGTGCCCGAGTGTCTCTGGAACTAGTATTGTCTACAGTGGCTGGGCTGCTGGCAGCCATTACACTCATTCTGGTAGTGGAGCAAACTACATTTGTCTCACCCAGACCCCTCAGTACCTCAACTTCAGCTCTGAAACTGCAGGAGAGTATACTGGTTTAGTGTATGGGGCAGAATATGAAGCTTTCAATAATCAACCTAACAGTAGAGTGCACAATCAAGATGTCCCATGTGCCGTCTGTCACGCCACCCAGCGATCAGTGCTCATGATACCAGGACAATACACCTGTCCAACTGGATGGACCAGAGAGTACTACGGCTATCTAGTTAGTGAACATCATGGACATAAGCGATCCACTTACGAGTGCATGGATGCGGATCCTGAAGCTATCCCCGGGGGAACTAATCAAAATGAAACACTATTCTACCATGTGGAGGCTCGCTGTGGCAGTCTGTCCTGTCCTCCGTATGATAACACCAAGGAACTGACATGTGCTGTCTGCAGCAAATAGCTAAAGCTGACACTCCAAACACAAACTCTAGTAGTATGTAGCTATATTCGTAGATTACGTAAGAAGAGTTTGACTTTTAGTAAAATACGTTTCTGTTGACATTGTTTGAATGCAACACAATTATGGAGACAGAACGCAAGCAGTCCACTGAGCATGGTATTTAAACAGCTCACACAACATTATTATGGGGTGTGTTTACACACTATAACCAACACAACGTGAAAACCCTCGGCGAGCTGCGCATGCGCGATAGTCTACTGCTAATTTTTGGGCTGGGCTATTAGTATGCGTTAACACGCGGCTTCCCGGCGGTAGATAGCATGCGAGAGTCGATACACGCCCTCCGTCGTGACTTCTTGTGCTTCCAAGGTACACAGAGAGAGCGGACCCGGTCGAGGTAAGCCTGTGCAAATTTGCATATTGGCTTGTTCACGTACTGCAACCCTCGCTGCGCATGCGCGCCGAGGGTAAAAACAAAGTGCAAACCCTTCGCGCATAAAACGGTTGCACATGAACATTGAACATTGTGATTGTGAGCTGCCTTGCCAATGGAATCAAAATGAGTTAGCACCAATGATTTCAAGTGTTCAACAGTTCCCATGTATGGCGCGCCGTTTGTGTTAAAACGATTTTTTTCTCGTAAACCTCAGTAATCGTGGCGACGAATCGTTTTCTGAGCGACGAATCGATTTTCGGGGCGCCGATTCTCCTTCGTCGCGACAATTCTCTTCGTGGCGACGAATTTCTAAGTGCAACCCTCGGCGAACGCGCATGCGCGGTACCACTAATTGATAGGCTGGACTTTTCTTTTCTTTACTCGCTGTATCGCGCTAGTAGCTCGCGTAGAGTCTTGGCACGGGCTAGCTACAGTAGTAGATTGCATGCGGGAGTCGATACATGCCCTTCGTTGTGACTTCTTGTGCCTTCAGATACACAGAGCGCGCGGACGCAGTCGAGGTAAGCCTGTGCTAATTACCATATTGGCTTGTTCACTTGGTTTTCACGCCATAACTTTAGAACGCAGTAGTTTTACGAAAATCGCCTTTTTTTAAATCAACCCAGTGTAGCACTGAACCCGATCATATCGCTATTTACCTGATTTCGTGCGCGCGGTGGCAGAAAACGTGGTAACAGACAGAATGACAGACAGAATGACAGACAGACTGACGGACACACTTACGAGACAACTACAGTAACCCTCGCTGCGCATGCGCGCCGAGGGTTAATGATCCAGGTGAGAGAGTTCAAAGGGTAACTTACTCGAAACCCAGTAGTGGCGGGACTTTGGAAGGTACCGATCAATGTACTGTATTGGCTACAGGCCCTCTAGGCACTCTAGGAAAGTTGGCCTTTCAACTCTCCTACCCGATCACAGAATATCGTCGCCTTACCTGGTCGCCGCCTCAATCCAAGATTTTTCGCCTTTATGACAGAATTCTCTCGCTCGATAAACGATCGTCGCCATAGAAATTCGTCGCCGCGAAAGAGATACGTAGCCACGAAAGGAGAATCGTCGACGCGAAAACGATTCGTCGCCCCTAAAACGATCTGTCACCCCGATTACAGAGGTTTACGGGGGAAAATCTTTTGACACAAACGGCACGCCATACACCCCAGCAGAAGTCAAAACACAAATGACTGTGTGATAAATAATACCAGAGGAATGTCTGAATAAAGTGATTCCATAGCATCATGATCAGTGTAAGGTCACCTCTTCAAAATCATCAGGATGCTGGAGCATACACATCGTACCGTGTTTCCATTCAGTGCTATTTCTTCGTATCTGTCATCATCCCTGGAACATTACCAGGGTGGGGAACAATGTAAATGAAAAGCACTGAAGTGCAAACCCTCGGCGCACTGTTACGCGCACGCGTAAGTAAACGCATGCGCCGTACCACTAATTGATGGACTGGGTTTAGTTTTAGCTGTTACTCGTGGTCTCTTGCCAGCTCGCGCAGAGTCTGACGCGGGCTAACTACACTACTAGATGGCATGCGAGAGGCGATACACGCCCTGCGTTGCATATTCTGGTGCCTCCGAGGTACGCAGAGCACGCGGATCGATCATGCGTAGTAAGCCGTTGTGTATTTGCATGTTGGCTTTTTCGCGCTCTAGCTTTGCAACGGAGCGTTTTCAGCGAAAACCCGTTTCGAAATTTTCTGACCTTCATTGCCCGTTCAGTAGGTGGTATCCTTTGTGAGACGAACGAACACTCGAGAAGTGAGATGACGAGTAACAGACAGACAGACAGACACACAGACACACAAACCCAATGAAAAGCACTAAAGTGCAAACCCTCGGCGAAGTAGCTCGCAGAGAGTCTGACGCGGCTAGCTACAGTAGTAGATAGCACGCGAGAGTCGATACACGACACTCGTTGTGACTTCTTGTGCCTTCAAGATAGACAGAGCGAGCGGACCCGGTCCTGTGCTAAATATAAGCGCATGCGCATTAGGCCGCCAGCGATAAAATGGTGACTACAAGCATTTGCCATACAATGCTGGAAGCGCTCTAGCTTAGCAACGGAGCATTTTCAGAGAAAACCGTTCGAAATTTCTGACCTTCATTGGCGGTTAAGTAGGTTGTATCGTTTGTGAGACGAACAGACATTCGAGAAGTGAGATTGAGAGTAACAGACAGACAGACAGACAAACCCAATGAAAAGCACTGAAGTGCAAACCCTCGGCGCACTGTGACGCGCACGCGTAAGTAAACGCATGCGCCGTACCACTAATTGATGGGCTGGGTTTAGTTTTAGCTGTTACCGCGGTCTCTTGCCAGCTCGCGCAGAGTCTGACGCGGGCTAACTACACTACTATATAGTATGCGAGAGGCGATACACGCCCTGGGTTGCATCTTCTGGTGCCTCCGAAGTACGCAGAGCACGCGGATCGATCCGATTGTGGTAAGCCATCCCGTCCGTTGTGTATTTGCATATTGGCTTTTTCGCGCTCTAGCTTTGCAACGGAGCAGTTTCAGAGAAAACCCCACAAATTTTCTGACCTTCGTTGCCCGTTGAGTAGGTCGTATCCTTTGTGAGACGAACAAACACCCGAGAAGTGAGATTGAGAGTAACAGACAGAAACACACAGACAAACCCAACTACTGTAACCCTCGCTGCGCATGCGCGCCGAGGGTTAACTACAGTACCCTCGCTGCGCATGCGCGCCGAGGGTAACTACAGTACCCTCGCTGCGCATGCGCGCCGAGGGTAATGAAAAGCACTAAAGTGCAGCAAACCCTCGGCGAACTGTAACCCTCGCTGCGCATGCGCACCGAGGGTTAATAAAGTCCAAACCCTTGGCGCACGAAAAGCATGCACGTGAACATTGTGACTGTGAACTGCCTTGCCAATAGATTATATGGGGGAGTGTTCATCACTAAGTACGGTAGTACTTAGCATGGGCATGGTAGCTACCTAGCATCATAGATGTATGGGGCTATGATAGGGAGTTTTGTTCATCTTCTTCTTCTTCTTCAGATTCAACACCCATAACTCAAAAACGAAACAACATACACTAATGAAATTCTGTAAGAATGTAGATATCCGTCACCCGAAAAGACTGGTCATACTTATTTGTTTGTAAACAACAACAAATAGCCCCAGGCAATACATGATCACATGTGTCAGTATAACTCACAAATGGTAAGAGCTATGAGAACGAAACTTTGTAGACATCAATCACCAACATTAAAATCACAACAATACATGTTTGTAAACAACAACAAATAACCTCAGGCACTTTTCTCTTTACTTCTTCACTTCTCAAACTTTCTAATGGTAGCACGCATAGAGATCAAAGTTGGTATGTAGCTATGCAACTACAGGTTTCCATGACCCTCGCATTCTGTTTTAAAAGCCTCAGGCAATTTTATTTAAAACTCGTTTCCATGAAAACCACAACAACAAATAGCCTCAGGTAATTTTTCTTTAAAACTACTTCTTCACTCCTCAAACTTGCTAACTGTAGCACGCATGGAGGTGAAACTTGGTGCACATACATAATACATCGTTTCTATGACAACCACAACAACAAATAGCCTCAGGCACTTTTCTTTAAAACTACTTCTTCACTCCTCAAACTTGCTAACTGTAGCACGCATGGAGGTGGAACTTGGTGCGCATGTGTGTAACATCGTTTTCATGACAACGACAACAACAAATAGCCTCAGGCAATTTTCTTTCTTCACTCCTCAAACTTGCTAACGGCAGCACACATGGAGGTGAAACTTGGTGCACATACATAATACATCGTTTCTATTACAACCACAACAACAAATAGCCTCAGGCACTTTTCTTTAAAACTACTTCTTCACTCTTCAAACTTGCTAACGGCAGCACACATGGAGATGAAACATGATATGCATATCATTTCCGTGACGACAACAGGCATTTTCTCTCTTTTATAGGGGGCTTGCCCTCTTCCACAGAGATAATATGTAGTATTATAATAAAAAGGAGTGGAGACAAGTAAATTAAAAATCCTGCAAATGTAAAAAGAGACATATAGGGATAAGGGAGACAAGATAGGGATGGGATACATGAAGCGTTAATGAAACAGATTTGAGTATAATATGCTGACACCCCCAACCCCATCACACAATCCCTATATTGTTGCCTAGGCGAAGTATTCAACGTTCACCATTACAATACTCAGAACAAAAATGGCATGCTACCGAGTAACCAACACCCCTACAGAGTCCAAGTGGAGTTTGAATGTGGCAGTAGAAATGTTATTAAACACAACAGGGACACGGTGAAAGAATGCTTGCTTTTAGTAACCTTTAACCCTTATCTAAAATGCCACATTCCCTATAAGAGTAGCACACCAGGTAACAATAGAGGGATTGTGTGATTGGATCGGGGTGTCAGCATACTCAAATCTGTTTATTAACCATGCTTCTCTCCCTTTCTTTTTATACCATCCCTATATGCCTCTTTTTTAAAAAGTGCAAACCCTTGGCACTCGAAAAGCATGCACGTGAACATTGTGACTGTGAGCTGCCTTGCTAATACAAAGATTGTTGGAATCAAAATGAGTTAGCACCAATGAATTTGAGTGTTCAACAGTTTGCAGGATTGTCATCAGAAGTCTAAACACAAATGACAGTGTGATAAATAATACCCGAGGAATGTCTGAATAAGTGATTGCTGAAGTGATTCCATAGCTTCTTGATCAGTGTAAGGTCACCTCTTCAAAATCATCAGGATGCTGGAGCATGTATATACATAAAATCAGATCCCGCACTCTTTGACTCTCTCCTGCCACTCTTGCTCTGCCCAGCCTTACTGGCATGGACACGGGGCTTTTTTGCCACCAAGCTACCACCACTGGCATCACTGGAGGTTCTTTTACCACTGGGTAGAGTGGCTGGGGAAGGCTGACTAGTGGAGTGAGGCTGGGCAGAGGAACTAGAAGCAGAGTCATTTGGAATGCTTTGTTGCGCGGGTCAAAGACAAGGATGTGTGCATGCGCGGCTAAGTCAGGCATGCTGTTAGGGTGGTTCTCAACTGGGAATAGATTTCGCTGGAAGCCCAGTAAGCAGTTACAAATTAGTGAGAACACTCGTCATTGTTCTGCTCACAACAGAGTGTCATTCACCAACATAAGGATGTGGTACTCTGATTACTCAGAATAGGAGATAGCGATCATGCATGACCCAAAAATTGTTAAAACCAAAAACGGGATGTGATGGTCAGATTTCTCATAACCTTCACGATGAGGAACTTAGATTACTCACGATATTTAGATTTCTCATAATCTTCACGATGCGGAACTTTTATTACTCATACTTCAAAGTTAGTCTTTGTTCTGCCGACAGCAGAATCAACAACAGAATGCGGTACTACAAACTCAGGGCCGAGTACACAGCAAGCACATACTGTGGCAGCTCGGCTGATATAAAAGGAGCACCGTCTCCCACTACCACACCAGATAAACCTGAGTCTGTGAGAATGGTTCAACTAACACACATCCTCCTACTGACAGCCCTACTCTTTGGGATGACAACTGCTGCTTCAGTTAAAGAAGGACAGCAACAAGGTATATAAATCACTCAGGGTGTTTGGCACATTAGCCTGGTGGCAAAATCACACATTTTGTGTGCATACAGGTGTAACTCTGGGACTGCCAACACAAGCCAGTACCAGGAACTATGATTACCAGCACCACAAAGGAGAGCAAGGGGACCAAGGCAATGAAGGAGTACAACAGCCACCAGAACCACAGAGACCACCCGTACCACCGGCACCTCCTTCACCAGGTAGTGGAGGGAACACTTACATCAGATGGGGTCGTACTGTGTGCCCGAGTGTCTCTGGAACTAGTATGGTCTACAGTGGCTGGGCTGCTGGCAGCCATTACGCTCACGCTGGTAGTGGAGCAAACTACATTTGTCTCACCACGACACCGCAGTACCTCAACTTCAGCTCTGCAAGAGATAGCCCCGGGTTGGTGTACGGGGCAGAATATGAAGCCGTCACTAATCAACCTAACATCGGAGTGAACGACCAAGACGTACCATGTGCCGTCTGTCACGCCACCCAGCGATCAGTGCTCATGATACCAGGACAATACACCTGTCCAACTGGATGGACCAGAGAGTACAACGGCTATCTAGTTACTACTTATTTTGGATATCCGCGAACCACTTACGAGTGCATGGATGCGGATCCTGAAGCTATCCCCGGGGGAACTAGTAATCAAAATGGAGCACTATTCTACCACGTGGAGGCTCGCTGTGGCAGTCTGTCCTGTCCTCCGTATGATAACACCAAGGAACTGACATGTGCTGTCTGCAGCAAATAGCTAAAGCTGACACCCCAAAAACAAACTCTAGTAGTATGTAGCTAGCTAAATTTGTAGATTACGTAAGAAGAGTTTGACTTTCAGTAATTGGCAGTGTTATAGCAACACAATTATGATGAGTTAACGCAAGCAGTCCACTGAGCACGGAATTTAAACGGCTAACACAACAATGAATTATATGGGGGAGTGTTTACTCTGACACTATAAGTAACACAATAAAAAGCACTGAAATGCAAACCCTTGGCGCACGAAAAGCATGCACGTGAACATTGTGACTGTGAGCTGCCTTGCCAATACAAAGATTGTTGGAATCAAAATGAGTTAGCACCAATGAATTCAACAGTTCCCATGGACTGTCATCAGAAGTCAAAACACAAATGACTGTGTGATAAATAATACCCGAGGAATGTCTGAATAAGTGATTGCTGAAGTGATTCCATAGCTTCTTGATCAGTGCAAGGTTGCCTCTTCAAAATCATCAGGATGCTGGAGCATGTGTATACATAAAATCCACACACAGATCAATATACACATATTGTACCGTGTTTCCATTCAGTGTTATTTCTTCGTATCTGTCATCATCCCTGGAACATTACCAGGGTGGGGGAACAATGTGTAATAACATGTGAATCAGAGAGTAGGAAAGGTGTATAATAATGCGGACCTAGGAGGTGGGGCTAAGTGGAGGAGCAGTCTCCTGAGGTCTTCAGTGAGGTCCTGGTGGACTCTTACCAGTGGTAGCAGTGACTCATACACCTGCCAATAGTCACAATAATGAATTTATGGCGAGCGAGTGCAAACAGTTCAATATTTCGCAACTGTTTTGCGCGTATGTAGAATCACGTAGAACATTACGGTATGTACAGTGCCCTACAGAGCGGTCACATATAAATAAATTTGCACGCATTGAAAAAACCAGGTAGGCTCGCTTCACTCGCCAATCACCATTAGTGTCTGTAGGTAGGTCACAACATTGACACAATCTCTTGTATACGTCATCATGAATGAGTTGTGCACATGTCCCACAGTAGTGAGCATTCCCTGATATTGGAGCCACACCTTTTGTCTGCTGACTGAAGGGTTGTCGAGTTGCTTCAGTTTCTCAATGATCTCCCTCAGTTCCAGAGGAGCATCACTGTACTTTTCCTGAGTCACAATCAAACAGAGTAAACATCATAGTAACCAACAAGTGGGTATTAATGGCTTACCTGTAACCTTACTATGAATGACTTTACATTCTCCATGTCATGTCTCTCTTCCAACTGAACAGAAATGACAGAAAATTAGCATTTCACAAACACTGGCCACATGTGTAAACTATGAGGTACGTAGAAAGGCAAAGGCACAACAAACAAGTTAACAACCACACCTAGGACAGCTAACTGTTTTCCACAAAAAAAGCAAATGGCTACACCCCGTACACTGAGTATGAATCGTGGCATTAGCTACACGTACCACATTGGCCTCTAGGCAATCCTGTGGACTTAGAAATTCGGTGAAGAGGCTGACAAGATGTGGCCATGGCCCAAATAACTCCCTGACTCTGCCGTATAGCTGAAAGAAGTATATCATACAGTCTGTCTGTATAACAACCCCACCCTCCCAGTCAACCTCTGAGGGTCTCCACTGGCGTTCACAGTGATCCTGCAGCAACTGAATGAACTGATGGTAGGTCCCTGGTCTAGAGCCGGCCACCGATTTCTGCATGAGTGAAAAAAGAGATGAGAGTATTCGATACATGCACCATAGTATCATGAACATGTTACCATGCCACACACACGTGTACACCTGAAAAGTAGGTAAGGCAGAAGGCAATGAAAATGTCCTACAAAATTGCATGCAGACTCTCTGCCCATTATTAAATGAAAAACACTAAAGTGCAAACCCTTGGCGAAGTAGCTCGCAGAGAGTCTGACACTGGCTAGCTACAGTAGTAGATAGCACGCGAGAGTCGATACACGCCATTCGTTGTGACTTCTTGTGCCTTCAAGATAGACAGAGCAAGCGGACCCGGTCGAGGTAAGCCTGTGCTAAATATAAGCGCATGCGCATTGTCCGCCAGCGACTACCGGCATTAACAAATACAATGCTGGAAGCGCTCTAGCTTTGCAACGGAGCATTTTCAGAGAAAACCCCACAAATTTTATGACCTTCATTGCCCGTTAAGTAGATCGTATCCTTTGTGAGACGAACAAACACCCGAGAAGTGAGATTGAGAATAACAGGCACACACACACAAATGCATCTCTCAGATGCGCATGCTCCAGCAAAAGATATAATATTATAGCTACGGCAACATACGCGCGTGCGCCATGGATCGCTCGCGTCTGCTGCTCCGGCAAAGGGTATACACCCACATACGCGCGTGTGCACGCGTACGCTTTTTCGCTTGTTTTCACGCCATATCTCTGGAACGCAGTCGTTTCAGGAAAATCGCCACATTACTATCCATCTTCTCGTTGTTCACAACCCGTTGGTGCCACTCATTGGCCGCCTTGTAGCCTGTAGTGCGAGAACTCGCGCGGACAGACAGACAGACAGACAGACAGACAGACAGAACGACAGAACGACTACCGTAACCCTCGCTGCGCATGCGCGCCGAGGGTTAATTAATATTCATGTACCAACCTCAAAATACACAAAATGTCTCCTTTAAAGCGATAAAAAATATGTGTATAATACCTTCACTTCTCGTAGAAAATGACAAGAGAATCTTGACATTGGATCAGATGGCTGGATAAAAAACAGAATTCCAGAAATGACATAATGTGACCAGTGTTAACCACCACCAGTGTCTCACCTCTACCCCTGCAGCCAGTAGCAGATGCTCCAGACTGGCTCTCCTCCCTCTCCTCACACCACACTCATCACCAGTATCACCATCACCACACCCATCTCTCACTGCCACCACTGTCGTTGACTCTCTCCTACCACTCTTGCTCTGCCCAGCCTTACTGGCATGGACACGGGGCTTTTTTGCCACCAAGCTACCACCAATGGCATCACTGGAGGTTCTTTTACCACTGGTTGTGGAAGGCTGACTAGTGGAGTGAGGCTGGGCAGAGGAGCTAGAAGCAGAGTCATTTGTAGTGCTAGAAGAAGATCCTGCTGCAGGGTGTGCTGAGGTACAGTCTCTGACAGGAGACCCAGAGCGCTCCCTGCTGGCCGCAATCTTGCTCGCCGAGTTTATCAGGATCTTTCTGACTTGGTCGATTGTTTCTGCTTCTTTTGAATCTCTTCTTTTTCCTTGCTGAGTGCCTTCTTATGCTGCGTCTACACAAGATAAACAAACCTTCAATTTGACTGAGAACTCTAGGGATGATCATATTTTATCACTGTAGTTCTCATGCCCGGCCACTTACAATAATCCAATGGGGTACTTCTGACAGAACATCATCACTAACTGTAGATGGACATCAATTCTAACATGTGATCACTGTAGTATAGTCATCACAAAGTAGCTAACTCACTCTGAGGAATTGTCTTTGTCTTCTTGTACTCCTACACATACGAACATAATATTATTACACTGCGCAAGTTCACAGAGCTATACACACCTTGATGGCATTGCTTCCGCTTCTTTTTGAACATCGATTTTTAACCCTGAGTTTCAACTGGAAAAAACAAGCAATCAAATGCTTGTGTCTTTGTGAGCAATGCATTGCTCTGCAACAGTGGCTATATATTACAACAAAAACTGCCGCACACAAACCTGCTTGAGCGTCTTTGTAGGGAGGACATTGGTCTGAATATCCTGCCATGCATTAGATCCATAGTGTTCCATCCCCAGTACCAGTAGACTGCATGGGGAAAAGACTGCCCCCGTGATGAATGTGCTAACAAGGCAGAAACCATCACCAAAGAGACTTCCCATACAACAGGCTTACCATTCTTCCTGAGGAGTGAAGTATTTTGATGCAGATGCAGAGTTTGTAGTCAGGGGTGCTGCAGTGTAGAGAATAGATGTGTGCAAAACTTCAGGAAATTTGGAGGAGTTTTAAACCTTGGCTGTACTAAGTTGTGGTCTGTCTGTTCTAACAACACTACTTCATGTGGCAAGCACATACAACGCAACAAACATCAGTTCATTTCTACCCAATTACTCTGGGTGCATGGTTATTAATAGTACCATACACAATTCAATGTGCAGAAATAACTCTAAATAATATGGTTTAAAGCAGCCCAAGTTAATGGAGAGGGGTGCATGGGTTTGTTGTGTGGGTCAAAGACAAGGAGGTGTGCATGCGCGGCTAAGTCAGGCATGCTGTTAGGGTGGTTCTCAACTGGGAATAGATTTCACTGGAAGCCCAGTAAGCAGTTACAAATTAGTGGGAACAAACTCTCAATTGTTTGCCTCACAAACAGAGTTGTCATTCACCAACATAAAGGATGTGGTTTCTCTGGATTACTCAGAATAGGAAATAGCGATTGATGCATGACCCAAAAAATTCTCAAAACCAAAAAACGGGGATTGTGATGGTCAGATTTCTCATAACCTTCACGATGAGAAACTTAGATTACTTTCATTGATTACTTAGATTGCTCATAATCTTCACGATGCCGGAACTCATACTTCGAAAACAGAGAGTTAGTCTTTGTTCTTCCGACAGCAGAATCAACAACAGAATGCGGTACTACAAACTCAGGGCCGAGTACACAGAAAGCACATACTGTGGCAGCTCGGCTGATATAAAAGGAGCACACATCTCCCACTACACACCAGATAAACCGTGAGTCTGTTGAGAATGGTTTCAACTAAACACCACACCTCCTACTGACAGCCCTACTCTTTGGGTGACAACTGCTGCTTCAGTTAAAGAAGGACAGCAACAAGGTAATAAATCACTCAGGGGTGGGCACATTAGCCTGGTGGCAAAATCACACATTTTGTGTGCATACAGGTGTAACAGAACAAACTCTGGGACTGCCACGACAAGCACAACCGGGAACCAGAAACTACTGATTACCAGCACCACAAAGGAGAGCAAGGGGACCAAGGCAATGAGGAGTACAACAGCCACCAGAAACCACAGAGACCCACCCGTACCACCGGCACCCTTCCTTCACCAGCACCACCTTCACCAGGTAGCTGGAGGACACACTGACATCAGAATGGGGTCGTACTGTGTGCCCGCAGTGTCTCTGAAACTACGTATGGTCTACAGTGGCTGGGCTGCTGGGCAGCCATTTCTCTCATGGTGGTAGTGGAGCAAACTACATTTGTCTCACCACGACACCGCAGTACCTCAACTTCAGCTCTGCAAGGATAGCCCCGGGTTGGTGTACGGGGCAGAATATGAAGCCGTCACTAATCAACCTAACTTCGGAGTGACGAACAAAACGTACCATGTGCCGTCTGTCACGCCACCCAGCGATCAGTGCTCATGATACCAGGACAATACACCTGTCCAACTGGATGGACCAGAGAGTACAACGGCTATCTAGTTACTACTTATTTTGGATATCCCGCGAACCACTTACAGTGCATGGATGCGGATCCTGAAGCTATCCCGGGGGAAAGTAATCAAGATGAGCACTATTCTACCACGTGGAGGCTCGCTGTGGCAGTCTGTCCTGTCCTCCGTATGATGGAAACCTACTGAATCCAGTGGCAGGGAGGAAGTGAGGGTAGTTCCAGAAGAGCACGGTGTCCATAAACACACGCTGGGCACCTTCTGGCACCTTGGGTGGGTTGCCTGCCGCTACGGAAGGTACACATCAAATATCAAAATTTGTTTTAACAGGGAATCCTGCACTTTTTATACACACAAAAAGTCTGTCACGATGCATGGAGTTATTTTTAAAAACAGATTTTTGCGAAAGTTTGCAGTAACTGTGTGCGTATTTTATTCACAGGAATGGCACTTCAGACACCACAACACCCAGCTGTAGTATATGTACGTTCCAACCTGGCCATGTATATTGATGACAGTGGGACTCACATGGTGTTATTTTCACAGCATTCTCATTGTATGGGTCTAGAGTCTTGACCAGGTCCAGACCATCCTGTAGGTCAGGTATATACCACACCCCCTTCCCTGATATAATATGTATATACACAGGCAGTTCACAGTCAACCAATCACATGTAGACATGCACATCAAACCGTTTTGTTTGGTGGATGAACACCATCGAGACAGTTCATCCTGAAACAGAAAAAAACCAAAGATTAAAGTATAATTCATGCCACTATTCATTGCTGAGTGCTTTAGTGGGAGGCAAAAGTCTGTGTCGCATCTCAGAGAATGTGGTTCACACTCTGGAAGTCACACTTCTTGATGTGCAGCGTGCAAATGTATGCATGGAGGAAAATAATTCTCCAAACTCAGCATATCACAAGCCTACCAACAAATAATTATCGAGGAGTCACGAGATGTGTAGTGATAACACTCACCACGGCAACTTGCGCTAGCGTACTGGTCTGACTTAGTGGCGCACACACATTAGCTACGACATCACCGAGACCGACATTAACGGCATTACCAGTGCTTGGGCCGCCACTTGAGACACAAACACCAGCGAAGGCTCGAACCTCGACAGAACAAACGTCTGCAATATCAGCTGGAAATGCTGCAACAGAAGAAAACAGACCATAACATACAGATTCAAGTTACTCTGTACCTCATTGAATGTGCAATAACATGTGTGTTTTGGGTCCATAATTAGTGATCGACTTCATGTTAGCTAGGGTTCATTGCATGTAAAACCTGCTGTATTTGAGTCCAGAGCAGTCTGGTCTGGTCCTGGCTGAGATAGCAGGCAGAGGAGGAGGGAGAGGAGGGAGAGGAGGAGGAGGGAGGGACGGGTTCGTTAGGGAGGAGAAGTGAAGGGGGTTCCATCATCAGTAAGGACGAAGACTGATCAGCCAATGTTGGTATTTGCACTCTGTGTAATAGAACATGTAAAATATTGCGACACGGTGTGTTTAGGACTCAGGAGAGACTACAACCAAACGTTTGCAACTAACAACCTGACCACCATTCCTCGCCAGCAATGTTGTACACCTAGTAATGTAGACTGTACCCTTCCTCGCCAGCAATGTTGCACACCTAGTAATGTAGACTGTACCCTTCCTCGCCAGCAATGTTGCACACCTAGTAATGTAGACTGTACCTTCCTCGCCAGCAATGTTGTACACTAGTAATGTAGACTGTACCCTTCCTCGCAGCAATGTGTACACCTAGTAATGTAGACTGTACCCTTCCTCGCCAGCAATGTTGTACACCTAGTAATGTAGACTGTACCCTTCCTCGCCAGCAATGTTGACACCTAGTAAGTAGACTGTACCCTTCCTCGCCAGCAATGTGTACACCTAGTAATGTAGACTGTACCCTTCCTCGCCAGCAATGTCGTACACCTAGTAATGTAGACTGTACCCTTCCTCGCCAGCAATGTTGTACACCTAGTAATGTAGACTGTACCCTTCCTCGCCAGCAATGTCGTACACCTAGTAATGTAGACTGTACCCTTCCTCGCCAGCAATGTTGTACACCTAGTAATGTAGACTGTACCCTTCCTCGCCAGCAATGTTGTACACCTAGTAATGTAGACTGTACCCTTCCTCGCCAGCAATGTTGTACACCTAGTAATGTAGACTGTACCCTTCCTCGCAGCAATGTTGTACACCTAGTAATGTAGACTGTACCCTTCCTCGCCAGCAATGTCGGACACCTGTAATGTAGACGGTAATGTACCCTCCTCGCCAGCAATGTCGTCACCCTGACCTAGTAATGTAGACCGAACCCGTCTCGCCAGCAATGTCGTACACCTAGTATGTAGACTGTACCCTTCCCGCCAGCAATGTACGTACACGAGTAATGTAGACTGTACCTTCCTCACGCCAGCAATGTGTAGTACACCTAGCTAATGTAGACTGTACCCTCCCTCGCCAGCAAGTGGTGCACCTAGTCTGTAGCGTTACCCTTCCTCGCCAGCAATGGTGACACACCTAGTCGTCGACTGTCCCACCCCTTCCTCGCCAGCAATGGTCGCAAGACACTAGTATGTCGACATGTACCTTCCGCCAGCATACCCTCGCTCTCCCGCCCCTTTGTCCCACACCTAGTACTGTAGACTGTACCCTTCCTAGTCCTCTCAGCAAGTTCGTATCACAACCTAGTAATGTAGACTGTACCCTTCCCTCGCCAGCAATGCGTACACCTAGTATGTAGACTGTACCCTTCCTCGCCAGCCAATGTGCACACCTAGTAATGTAGACTTTACCCTTCCTCGCCAGCAATGTTTGCACACCTAGTAATGTAGACTGTCCCTTCCTCGCCAGCAATGTTGTACACCTAGTAATGCAAACCGTTTTGTTTGGTGGATGAACACCATCGGACAGTTCATCCTGAAACAGAAAAAAACCAAAGATTAAAGTATAATTCATGCCACTATTCATCGCTGAGCGCTTAGTGGAGGAAAAATTCTGCGTCGCATCTCAGAGAATGTGGTTCACACTCTGGAAGTCACACTTCTTGACGTGAAGCGTGCAAATGTATGCATGGAGGAAATAATTCTCCAACTCAGCATATCACAAGCCTACTTTAAACTAATTATCGACAAGGAGTCACGAGATGTGTAGTGATAACACTCACCACGGCAACTTGCGCTAGCGTACTGGTCTGACTTAGTGGCGCACACACATTACCTATGACATCACCGAGACCGACATTAACGGCATTACCAGTGCTTGGGCCGCCACTTGAGACACAAATACCAGCGAAGGCTCGAACCTCGACAGAACAAACGTCTGCAATATCAGCTGGAAATGCTGCAACAGAAGAAAACAGACCATAACATGCAAATTCAAGTTACTCTGTACCTCATTGAATGTGCAATAACATAGTGTGTTTTGGGTCCATAATTAGTGATCGACTTCATGTTAGCTAGGGTTCATTGCATGTAAAACCTGCTGTATTTGAGTCCAGAGCAGTCTGGTCTGGTCCTGGCTGAGATAGCAGGCAGAGGAGGAGGGAGAGGAGGGAGAGGAGGAGGAGGGAGGGACGGGTTCGTTAGGGAGGAGAAGTGAAGGGGGTTCCATCATCAGTAAGGACGAAGACTGATCAGCTAATGTTGGTATTTGCACTCTGTGTAATAGAACATGTGAAATATCGTGACACGGTGTGTTTAGCACTCAGGAGAGACTACAACCAAACGTTTGTAGCTAACAACCTGACCACCATTCCTCGCCAGTAATGTTGTACACCTAGTAATGTAGACTGTACCCTTCCTCGCCAGCAATGTTGTACACCTAGTAATGTAGACTGTACCCTTCCTTGCCAGCAATGTTGTACACCTAGTAATGTAGACTGTACCCTTCCTCGCCAGCAATGTTGTACACCTAGTAATGTAGACTGTGTTTAGCTGACCCAAGAGTCTCCAGTAGGTAGGCCCCAGTGAGGTCCAGTCCGTCATCTGACAGCAGTCGGCCACCACTCACCTCTACTGACTGAGCCAAAAAACATAGTATGAAATGTGTACATACATACATACATACGGACATACATACATACACATACAGAAATCGCATTATGTGTGAAATACTTACAGGATTGAGGAGCTCTGTTATAAGATCATCAACTTCCTTCCCTGTGCAAAGACATTCAATTCCCTTTCCCTTACATTCTCACGTGTTATACTCACTAGACACTCTCAAAACCTGGCAGTACATACTACTCTATGCAACATGTCTAAGAGGGAGTCATTACGTGGTATCCGGACGGCTCTGTCGTTCCTGAACTCCTCTCTCTCCTCTTGTCTGAGACAGTCTGCCAGGAAATTGTACTCTCCATCTTCCTCCTCCTCTTCCTCGGCGACATGGGAGGCCAGGGAGTCTGGGGAAGAAGGAAGGAAAAACACTTCGTAAATATTGAGCTACCATTTGAACAGTTTGCGCATCAAGAGGAAAGTTTCTCCTGTGATTCTTACTGAAATAGGATTTTTTGGAAAAGCATGTGTATACATTGTAGATTTGAACCCCTACTACCTAAGTTGCCATGGTACTGTGGCTCAGTGGGTGGAACCGCCTAGACTGCAGAGTGTCGTGAACACCACCAGTGGCAGCTCTTGAATTGTCCAGCCTGGGTACATGTACTTGATTTATTTGCCTTTGCTTTGCTTTGACCTTGCTGCTGACACATAATAAAAAAAACACAAGGTGTACTGTACGTTACCATTGAGGGGGTCAGAGGTGAGGGAGTTAAGCCACTGGTGCCACCATAGCTCGTCAGGATCCAATTCTCGAGGGGTCGGGGGATCTTCCCCCTCCACTGTGCCAAGCCCCGCCTCCAATGATGTAATGGATACATCGTGTAGCGGATGTTTGGAGCGAGTTCGCTGAGCAATCTTCTCCTCCTCACTTGTGCCGGCCTGAGTTAGTACATAAACTTCAAATCAACTCATGCATATATTTACACTCGAAAGAGCTACTGCACTCTGAACATACAACGAAAACTAGCTAAGTAGCGAGCTTATAATTATCAGATAGAGGATTTATGTATTAGTACCATCACAAAAACAACCAACTGACCGCAACCGGCTGGTAAGTCAGAAAGGATCTCGCAGCCCGCGGACGATTCTCGCTATCGCACTTCTAGCAGTAGGAGTCAGCTCGCGGGCTGGTAGCTCGGGGCCGACCCGGCGCCCTGCGCAAAATAACTTGACCGGAGAGCCAAGGCTGAGCAAGCAGCAACATCGTTATAGCTGCTAAAATTCAGTTACATAGTTATTTAGACGAAGCAACATGCCACAGGCTGCGCAGCAGCTTTGTTGAATATATGACCCAATAGTATGTCAAACAGCTGAAACTCTGACGATTCTTACCACAGTGATTGCGGGTGAAAAGCTTTCGATTCCTGGCAGTCCTTCAATATCTCCAGTGGACAGCTCGGCAATACCGTGGGGTACTTTAACCCCATCACCACTGGGGCCAGTCAGTAAACTACGGGACAACCCACCATGACCACCACTAGCAACATTCCCGGCACCACAAGTTGAAGGAGCAACACTTGAACAAAGTCCCGAAACTGGCCTGTTTTCTGAAATGCTGCCTCCCTCCACCTCCCTCTCCCTAGCAGTCACTACCACACTCTTATTACCACCACCGCTAGTATCAGTAGCTGATGGTTGCTGCTGCTGCTGTTGTGTGAGATATTTCAGAGGACTCAGTGTGTTCTGAGGACCAGTCATTGAGGCCAAGAGCAGAGCTGTCTCCTGGATCTCTCTGTCATGTTCTTCCACCTCTTGCGGTTGATGAAAGTGATGATGTAAGGAGGTTTGATTAGGAGATGACTTTCGAGGAGGGGTCCCTGGTAGTGGGGTCAGAGTGCCTGTAGTGGGTGTGGTCTGAGACGATATGGGTGTGGTATGAGAGTTAGTGGGTGTGGTCTGAGGTGAGAGGGTTGTGGTCTGAGATGTGGTGGAGGTGGAATCGACAGCTGTGGAGGTGATTGATGAGTGGGTGTGGCAGTGGGAGGAGTCAGAGTGAGGTGTGAGAGTAGACTTGGTGGGAGAGGAAGAAGTGATACTGGTGACGGTGGGGAGGGAGTAGGGAATGGTACCACATTGGGTTGGCTGAGATTCCATCGGCTCTGCAGTAAGACAGGATGTGAGCCTCAACTTCCACCGTACTACAACTTTCTGTTACATTCTTAGTCCCACTATATAACAGCATAACACAAGTACTCCTACCTAATTCCTAGGAAGTACTGTATGGGATAGAGGGGCTAGGGGCTAATGTGGCGATGACATGAGCTACAATACGTATGTAGTTACAATGGAGGAATTTCTGCAGCTCAAAGGTCCATACAACAACAAACACATTGACACTCTGTGCAGACCTTCACTAATATCCTCCTCCTCTGGTTCTCCTCCAATCTGCTCAGTCACTTCCACTTCCTCCTCTGCCTCCATTTCCTCCTCCTCTTCCTCTTCCTCCTCGTCACCGCTGGAATAGCCAGGGTTATACTCCTCGTCAGAGGATTCCTCCGTGTCGTCTTCGTCCTCCATGGGATCTGCCTCCTTCTCTTTGGAGGAAGACTTGAGCAGAGCCTGTGGAAAACGACAGGGAACAAATCGCAATTTCCCCACTTGTGATATGCTCCTAATGAAGAGTAAACACACTAAAAGTAACAGAGTAACATGACACAGTGACACTATTATCCCTTTGCCTTCCCCACCTCCCTCCCTCCCTCCACCTTCCTCTCCCTACAAAACTTAACATATATACAGCACCATGCAAAAGTGTGCACATGCAGTAGTCATTTTGGAGAGAAAATACGTTTGTAAAGTTGAGTAGGAATGCAGAACATTAGAGCTCAGTGAGTGTGTGATTGTAGATAGGTGTGCGAGGTGTGAAGTGTAGGGAGACTCACAATCTTGTCAGTGGAGAGACTGCCAGAGGCAACTGCCGACATGACGGCCTGTCTGACTCTTGACCTCGTCAGTCTAGGCTCCTGGAGAGAGACAGCACACCTGTACATACATATCTCATCACTTTACTTTACACTCCAGTGACCATTCTTATACATAGTGACACGCACACAAGAATCAACCCCTGGTTGGCGAGCAGAACACGTGAGAGTTGTATATACAAATTTTCATGGGTTTGCGAGTATGTATGTAGTATGAACTAGTTGGTTTCCCACTCATGTTCCACTGACACCAATACTGAGGGGTGGGGAAGGCACAGCAAATGGAGGGGAGATAAGGATTGGTAAAGCGAGATAGGAATAGGTGAAGCAAGGTAGAGTATCTTACTATTCCATACTCCAACAGTAGTCAAAGTACTAAGCATAGTTGGTTTGTATCTTCTTCCACTAAGGTGCGTACTAAAAATGCTTACACCTCTATTGTGGGGATTGATAAAGGCACAATAAAATGGAGGCAAGATAAGGATTGGTAAAGCGAGATAGAGGATCCTACTATTCCATACTCCAACAGTAGTCAAAGTACTAAGCATAGTCTCTTCTTCCACTAAGGTGCATACAGGTGGTGCAGTACATGTACATGGTGACGTGGCTCTATACCATATAAACATACATACATACAACATACGTGTACGTACCCAGATAAACTTACTGTACCGTAAATGTAGAAAAGTATCAACCTACACATGTACAACAGAGTAGCAGCACACACAGTACTTCTTCTTCTACTGACATAGGCAGTGAGTTCCTCCCAGTCATCAGAGATGTGGCGGCTCCCTTCCTTCTCTCCTCCTTCTCCTTCTCCCTCCTCTTTAGCTGCCAGTCTCTGCACTAACTTCAGGACTCGCTGGTCCTTTACCAAATGCTGCACACACACACACACAACACATATTGCACACACAAGGATCACAGATAAGCTGAATCCAGAGTAACAATTCATGGAGAGAAACATTTTCAAGGCTTGAAACCAACTGCCACATTATGTATATGGATAAGCTGAATCCAGAGCAAAATTCACGGGTCAGGGCTTGAAGTCATCTGCCACATTATATGTATGTGGACATGTGTACAGAAATAGCTCAATCATCAAGATGTCCTACTGGTGTAGCACAGTACACATGAGGACGGATGTAGGTGGGTATAATGCTGTACACTGTCAATTGAATTTGCACGACTGCTATTGACTCATTGCGACACTGCACTATGTCTATAGTCATGCAGTAGTCCATATATAGCATACACATAGACTCACATGCAGTATGCTCTTGACATTAGTGACTGAGAGGTTTTTCTTGGCAGCTGTGGCCTCCAACTGCTCATCCAGAGACCCACCTCCTGTAGAGAGAATCACATTTAGCCACTGATGCACCTCTACAAACGTCTTTGCAAACAGGTTTATAGCAAGTAGTCAAATCATATGCAGTGAAGGTCTGGCTTGCAAGAGAATAGTTCATATTCAAGGCTGCTGCTATGGCTCTCAGTCATATAACAGGTGCATGACAGTACAGTGGATCACTAACCGCTAAAAGTTGGTTTTTCTGCAGAGCCATGTGGTGTATCCTCATCTCCTCTTGTCTTGTTTCCACTAGGTGACCTCTCAGACTGCACACCTTTCCCTTTCCCTTTGGCTGTCTTTCTGCCTCTTTTCCCTTTCATCTGTCCACACTCTCTCACTGCTGCAGGTAAGACTACAACAAGAGCTAGAGCACGTCGCTGCAGCGCAGGATATCTCGATCTATTTGACGCCCACCATAGAATGTCCTGTGCGCATGTGCGTCATTAATTTTCGGAAGGATCTGATCTGGTGGCCAGTCTAGAGAGACAGAGAGCTGCTCCAGCTTTGACCTTTGAGCTACTCCACGGCGGCAGCCAGAGCAATCTATCGCCTCAAGCAAAGGGTATCGTAAGGTATCTATATGTTTGTCAGTGTAATGCTAGATTGAGGGCTACACGACCTTAGCAATTCGACAATCCCGGTCTGTAATTAGACTCACGTGCTTGTAAATGAGCAGGAAAGACGTTGAAGTGTGTGATTTTGCTCAGTGTTTTCTTCCTCGCACTTACCCTTACCCTTGACTATAAGAAACGAAACCTGTAGGTTTACCAGAGTGACTAGAGGTTTTCAAATGCATACATAATATTATTATAATTATCTACATAATATAGCAAGTACTTAATACTGGGAACTGTTTCCGTATGGCGTACATCTACAAGTGTTCAAAATCACGTGTGCTTAGTTTCACCACATCTGTGTAGGTACTGTATGTATTTCATTGAATCTGTACATAGTATATATGAGGTCTTCACCCTACCATGTTCTTCCCAGGTGTAAGCAGTGTGGTTGACTGAAGTGTGTACACAGCACACGACAAAGAGATCTGTTTCCTGTGTGAGTGTGTGTGAGTGTCGCTGACACCTGCTGTCAATGATGAGTGGTGAGGAGGTTCCTGGATCGGAGGGCGGAGTCGAGTTGAAAGCCAGACTCTCATCTCATCTCAGGTCAGATATGTATGCACGTCATATATACCTGTACATACATGTATTTTTTCAACATACATAAAGACTTGTATGTAACATGTATTTTTTTGCATGCACAATGCTGGCAAGCTGGTACATATGTACTACTACGGATCATTGTTGCTGCACTGTAGCAAAATTTTTTTTGGTTTTTGTAGTTAGTTTGTGGACTATCCGTTGCATGTATGTAATGTTCGCTTTGCCCAGTCCTGTATATAGGTGTGTGGTCTATGGCCATGGTGCTACATATATATGCCTGCTGTTAGATCATATCACTGCCAACAGGTTCCAGATAGAGGATGTTCGCGAGGAACCGTTGTCACCATCTCCTCGAAAGGGTACGACCTCTGCGGTCACCAGTCTCGGCTACGACACCTCGGAGGCCGTCCCCATGACGATGTACTATCGAGACGGTGAGGAGGAGGGAGGAGGAGGAGGGAAGGCCAGACCCTCTCTGGACTACCTGAGGGACAGAAGTGGAGCTGCGGGGAGCTTGCCACCACCTCAGGCTAGTGGCGATTTTTTGGTTCTTTTTACTGCATAAGAGCATCACTTACATAACATCATGCAATCGGTTTCTGCAAAGGGACACAGAAAGTCACAACGAAGGGCGTGTATGGATTACCGCATGCTATCTACTAGTGTAGCTGTCCCGTGTCAGACTCTCTGCGAGCTACTAGCATGGAGACCGCGAGTAAATGCGTACTAATAGCCCAGCCCATCAATTAGCGGTACCGCGCATGCGCATTTCGCCGAGGGTTTTGCACTTTAGTGCTTTTCATTGCCCTGATAGCTCAGTTGGTAGCGCGCTTGCCTAGAAAGCAGAGTGTCGATCGTGGGTTCGAATCCAACCCAGTGCAGCTCTTCTTTTTTCCTTGGAAAGAAAGAGTTGTCCTGGGTGTAGTTGACTAGTTTGCCTTGCCTTGCTACCTCACTTCATTTGTTGACACATGTATATATGTGCCTCATACATGTGTTACAGTCAAGAGACGGAGATGGTGGAGAAGAGACAGATGGTGTGGGTGGAGGTGACTCGGGGGCCACCGGGAAGAAGAGATGGTGGCAGTCCAGTGGAGACAAAAAGCCGCAGAAGTTTGGCTGGATAATGGGAGTACTGGTGGGTCACTATACCACTGCTCATATTGCTCGTTTTCTCTCCTCGAACTTGTTTGGGCGGAGACCATTGGTAGAACAAATAGCATTTTCCATGAGATTCTCTTTCTTTCAGTGACCACGAAAGAGTCCCGCTATACCTTAGGAAGAGGGCAAATGTTTGCAGCTACACTCTTAAGTACAGTATAGGGTTGGGCATAGTACCGGCATAGCATCATACACGCACTAGTACGTACGTACGTGTACATGTGGGGCTCTGAAGAGTAAAGGGCGTGTGTTCTGCATTCAAATGCCTATGATACTATAATATGCTCTGATATTATTCCTTTAGCTAGA